CTTATATACGAGGATTTAGTGACATAGTTCATGAATAACTTTCACACTAAAGAATGAATTACAACCACAAGCCTTGATATTAACAAAAAAGAAAATAAACTAAAATTTCTGCATTAAATGACAAACTTCACTGTGAGTCAGGTCAATTAACAGTGATAAGTCTGCGTAGTTCAGTGGTTAAGGCGTGAAGCTAAGTATACCTCGTACAGCCTTGGTTGGTGGGACACAAAGGGAAGCAAGCATCAAACCCTGACTGAGTTTTTTTTATGGGAGATTTTATATAATAGAGGTACACGTACTTGAGGGGAGGTAAGTATTTGAGGGGAGGTAAGTACTTGAGGGGAGGTAAGTACTTGAGGAGAGGTAAGTACTTGAGGGGAGGTAAGTACTTGAGGAGAGGTAAGTATTTGAGGGGAGGTAAGCATTTGAGGGGAGGTAAGTATTTGAGGGGAGGTAAGTACTTGAGGAGAGGTAAGTACTTGAGTGGAGGTAAGTATTTGAAGGGAGGTAAGTATTTGAGGGGAGGTAAGTATTTGAGGGGAGGTAAGTACTTGAGGAGAGGTAAGTACTTGAGGGGAGGTAAGTATTTGAGGGGAGGTAAGTACTTGAGGAGAGGTAAGTACTTGAGGGGTTATATAAGGGGAGGTTCTCTAGGTGGTCTAAAGAGAGGAGGGGTATAATGGACGAGTTGTCTGTTCTGGGTAAACACAAGAAATACACTCTGCCACGTTCGTAGAGTGATACGGTTTTATATAATTTGTAATATAAGTTTAAAGTCCTGCTATAATAGTCGAGATAAGTTTTTCTCTAGAAACAGGGCCGCCATTTGCAATGACGTCATCACCTTCCCTGCAGACGACGCAGGGATGGAGATAGGAATCAATTTAGAAGTAATGACATTGTCTGGACTTTGTTTTGAGAATGCCTGGTGCTAGGTAAACATGACAACATAGTGTTGTTATTGTTTTGATGATTCACTAATGAACCACCGGGATATATCATCAGTTATATTAATTAGTGGGTAAAATTTTACTTTAACTACCATAAGTATTTGGATGTTTAAATTCGAGATAGGCTATACTGGGTATTGGGTAAAATGTTAAGTTTTGGTCATCCCTGTACTTAGACATGCAGACTACGTTTTTCTGGTGGCTTGGGATGTGTTATGAACGAGTTAGACCTTCATATATATCGGAAATCTCTGGTTTTGAGTTACTCCCCCCCCCCCCTTACCTGTGTATGTTAAGCTAATCTTATAACTTATAAAGTGGTCCCTCGGTTAATGGACACAATTCGTTCCAGAAGGTCGTTCGTTAACCGAAACCATTGTTTCAATTGGATTTTGGGTAATTGGTTCCAGCTCACCGAAAATTACATACGAAATAAAAACAAAAATGCAGTAAAATGAGGCCTTGGTGGGTGAGTGAAGTGGCTGATGGGCACACCAAAGACTAGTTCCCTGTACTGCAATTATGTTAAATAAGTGTTAAAAAAAAATATAAACTTGGAAAATTATTGAATAGTACAACCTTCTTGATATTTACTCCAATTTTAACGAATGTAAGCCCTAGAACCGATTTCTGTATTGGCAAACTAATCTTCCAGCTGGTGAGCAAGCCAAAGCATGACGGAACATTTTCGTAAGAATTTCTTTAACCGAAGTTTGTTCGTTAACCGAAATGAAAATTCTTATGGAAGGTAATTCGTGAACCGAAATTTCGTTAACTGAGGCGCTCGTTAACCCTAACCTAACCTAACGTAACATATGACCTGTATTTTCGTATGCAATGGAAAAAATTTTAGCGACAGAAATCCCTTAGAGATAATGTGTGTTATTGTTTAAAGTACTTAATCCCATAGTTAGAATCTTCAGGTTCCCCTGATGACCAAAACCAAAATAATACCAATATTGTTTGGAATGTTTATTTTCTATGAAATTTGTAGTAGGGGCAGCAAATATCCATTGAATTAGTTAATGTGCTTATTAATATTTATATATTCAATATAGTATTACTGTGTTGCACAGTAAAGCACAATTAATTATCTAATAATATTTATTTACAGAGCCAATCAGCTGAGAAGGTTGGACAACTACTTCCAGGGTTCATCAAGGCAGATGAAAGAAATTTACCAAAAGCAGATGTGTTATGATTGTAGAGTATTATCAAGAACTCCGCCACCCAGTTATGACGCACATTAAATTACATCTGTCATCTGATCATGTTAAGCCCATCCCCTGGTCATGGTCGTCCCTAGTCCTTCCACAACATTAAATATAGACATCAGTGACGAAAACTTACATTTTCCAGACACGAAATAGAGAAGTGATGAAAACTTCCATGTTGGAGTTATCAGTCTTTTGCATCATTTTGGCACCCAGCAAGTAAATACACACGATGATACTTGAGCAGTAATTTATTTTAACCTAACGATGCCTGTGTATATCAACATTGTATATGGCCATTAGTCCTGTATTCCTGCTGGTAACAACACATACACCACAGCTGGCCACCTCCAGGCTCCTGCTCTGCGGCTGGTGCTAGTCAGTGACGTCATAACCAATCACAGAACTTTTCGCAGTCACGTGACTTTTTAGCAATATTAACCCATATTTTTTAAAAATTTTGGCCAAATTTATTTAGAAATATCATTACCATAATGAATTTAAGCATTTACTTTACCCATTGACCTGCTATCTTACGAAAAAAATCCGACCGACAACTCGTCCATTATCGTTAATGTAAATAGTGTAGTAATTTTGTCTACAGTCACCCGGGGAGGGGGATGAGGAGGAACAAGTGTCAACACATCAGTTGTCTTAGATACATCGATCTTCGCCCTTACCACATACTGTACATACACACGGATATGTATACATAATCAAAGACACACATACTGTAATATGTAACCACAAACACGCACACATGTACATAACCAAACACACACATATACTTAACCACACACACATAACATGAAAATTCAACTCAGTCACATATATAATGAAAAGAAATGACATCAAAACATCAGCATTAATTGGTTTAATTTCTCAAACAACCTAACCTAACCTAACGTACCAGAGCAACGGAGAGACCATTACAGATTTACCCCATGACCTGTTTACATAACACTACCATCCACACGTTCCTCTGGCTCTCTGTCCTGAAGTTGACTCAATAAGGGAAGCGACGTCACAGATAAACTCATAGTAAGAATAGATAGATATTCAGTAAAATCACCATTAAAGTTTACAATTGGTTCCAGATGTATATAGACAATGCAGGAATATAGACAACACAGGCAAGGCCGGATCATCAACGGCCTACGGCGGTTTTAGAGGCCTACGATAATTGGATAATATGTATTTTCACTGTGGTAAGGCCTACTTAGTTTTATAGGCTAATAAAAATAAATGAAACAAATCTATAACGTTTGACAAGGGAGAAATATAATCATAAGAGTAAGTGAATATGGACGTTAATTTAGTATCTATTTGCTTACTGTAGTGCTTTACATTCATTCCCCACACCTGACTGGCCTGAAACTAGACCTAATAAAATCAGAAGAGAATAAATAATCACAAGGGAATAAATAAACTCCACTTTAAGTTTGTTTTTCATGAATAACATATGTACAGTGTTTATTAATCACCAGAATATTAAAAAACTCAACGGTTTATTATCTATTATTAAAGTTTTATAAATCATACAAAATACTCTTTTCGGGTTTTGGCGGCAGCAAAGTCTTCAATAATATCCTGAAAGTCCAACTTTTTAACATGCTCGCGCTATACTGAGTAACGCCAGTGATGAAAGGTGACTGGCCCATCGTAAATCATAAGACAGGGTTTATTTCATCCTTTTAAGTTTAGAAAAAGGCCTCTCACATTTACAGTTGGTACCGAGTATTTACAAATATATTCACATACGGAAAGTTGTTGATTACCTGGGTTTTCAGTATGTCTGCCACTTATTTATTGTCGGGGAGCATTTCTTTAAAAAACAGAACACTCCTCAGTAAACACGGATTCAGTGGCGTCCTTGTAGCGATTCTTGGTTATACTGTCGGTAGATATTTACAATTTCGTTAGCTATAGTGTTAAGAGAAGCAGCACACTCTCAAGGGAACAATTTGGGTCCAAGTTTAAATAAGGAACATCGGTAAATTTGGGACCTACGATAGAAAAATACCCAGGGCCTATGAAACCCTTAATCCGGCCATGAATATAGGTACACAGTGTTAATTTATATAGTCATAGGCCGTGCAGATATACAATTACCAAATGCATGTAGACAGTGCGGGTATACAAACAGCGGCAAACAGTGAAGTAATGATACGACTCGGGACCACCAAGGAAGCCATCAGTTGTTTACTTCCTGTAAGGTACTGAGGCTGAATTCAATGGTGAAGATGGTTATTATAGAACGGACTCGTATGTGAAGTTTCTAGGTGGTAGATGAAGCCTCCAGGTGGTAGATGAAGCCTCCAGGTGGTAGATGAAGCCTCTAGGTGGTAGATGAAGCCTCCAGGTGGTAGATGAAGCCTCCAGGTGGTAGATGAAGCCTCTAGGTGGTAGATGAAGCCTCCAGGTGGTAGATGAAGCCTCCAGGTGGTAGATGAAGCCTCCAGGTGGTAGATGAAGCTTCCAGGTAGTATATAAAGCCTCCAGGTCGTATATGCAGCCTCCAGGTGATAAATGAAGCCTCCAGGTGGTATATGAAGCCTCCAGGTGGTAGATGAAGCCTCCAGGTGGTAGATGAAGCCTCCAGGTAGTATAAAGCCTCAGGTGGTAGATGAAGCCTCAGGTGGTAGATGAAGCTTCCAGGTGGTAGATGAGGTGGTAGATGAGCCTCTAGGTGGTAGATGAAGCCTCCAGGTGGTAGATGAAGCCTCCAGGTGGTAGATGAAGCCTCTAGGTAGATGAAGCCTCCAGGTGGTAGATGAAGCCTCAGGTGGTAGATGAAGCCTCCAGGTGGTAGATGAAGCTTCCAGGTAGTATAAAGCCTCCAGGTCGTATATGCAGCCTCCAGGTGATAAATGAAGCCTCCAGGTGGTATATGAAGCCTCCAGGTAGTAGATGAAGCCTCCAGGTGGTAGATGAAGCTTCCAGGTAGTATATAAAGCCTCCAGGTGGTAGATGAAGCCTCTAGGTGGTAGATGAAGCCTCCAGGTGGTAGATGAAGCCTCCAGGTGATAAATGAAGCCTCCAGGTGATAAATGAAGCCTCCAGGTGGTATATGAAGCCTCCAGGTGGTAGATGAAGCCTCTAGGTGGTATATGAAGCCTCCAGGTGGTATATGAAGCCTCCAGGTGGTAGATGAAGCCTCCAGGTAGTATATGAACCCTCCAGTTGGTAGATGAAGCCTCCAGGGTGGTAGATGAAGCCTCCAGGTGACAGATCTAGGAACACTGAGGCACTTGACAGACAAATTTTCCCTCAGACGACCGTTGCTGTGAAGAGATAATGAATAAACTAAACGCAGGAATTAATAGACAAATAAATGAATAGCTCCTTAAACCAATCGATGAACAAATGAACAGATAGATATAGATAGATAGATAGATAGATAGATAGATAAAATATTATTGGTATGTCGCGAACTTGGATCGATCGTAATGGGGCCTTAACTAGCGTCTGTCTGTCCATTTCACTGTCATTGTTTCTCTTTTTTGTCTCTCCGTTTTCCTGGGTATTTATCTGTCCATCTATATTTATATCTATCTAACTAATTTTCCCTCTCTCTCTCTCTCTGTCCAATTTTCCCTCGATCTAATTCTCCCTCTCTCTATAATCCTCTACTTCTCCGTCTCTCTCTAATTATCTCTCTCTATCTATCTAATTATCTATCTATCTATCCAATTCTCCCTATCTCTCTACAGATAATCCTCTCCCTATCTATCTAATTCTCCCTCCCTCTTTTATATCCTCTAATTCTCCCTTTCTCTCTAATTATCTCTCTCCATCTATCTAATTATATATCTCTCTCTCAACTAACCTTGGCCAGGGCGGGTCTACAGTGCTTCTTACGGTTGGTGCAGTAGTTCCTCTTAACACAGCGACCATAACGACGGATACACGGCCAGTCCTCAGGGGGGCAGGAGGGGCAGGAGGAGGGAGGATCACTCAACCTACACGCACGGCACACTGTATGTTGGCACACCCCTCGACACCTTACCACCTCCTCCCCAACTAACCTGTACCCGTGATAGAGTTACAGTGAGTAGTTCAATGATACAGTGGTCCAGTGATACAGCGTTACAATGGTCCAGTGATATAATGATACCGTGTTGATGAGTGCCACAACCCATAAAATGAATCTAAAATGTTCGCTAAACCAAACAGTAAAACTCTTTATATATTTCGCTCAAAATAGCAAGTCTTAAAAATGAGGTGCATCTCTCTCTCTCTGTCTCAAAGGCAGAGGAAGACACAAGACAAGTGTACCTGGCGGAGCAGATGGCATTAGGGAAGCTGGCGCAGTAATGGTGTGTACAGGGAGGCTGACAGAGGCTCACGTCCCCCGGCAGAACCTCTCTCGTCGGCTGCTCTCCAGTCCCTGCTTCCTGCCACCATCCCCGCTGGGAGGAAGAATCTGCTTCGCTTCCTACCACCACAAGAGTCAAAGTTAATGACAGCAGTTCCTCGAGTATGTGAAGTAAGTGTGTTTTATTTTAGTTCAAGGCAAGTTTTAACAATTTTTCATTAATTATGTTTAATTGTGTTTATGTTTTAGCTTTCATTCGTTTCCTTCTTAGTCATATTGTTTAACTGACTTGGTTTCGTTCATTATAAGATTCATTTCTGTGCAGTATATTGGTAAAGCGTCACCTGATGATATGGCTAAAACTGTACACACCTCAGGGTTAAGAGAACAACAGATAGCAATGTGAACTTTGTCTAAGAACCCTGACCGTCCCCCAAACCCCTGGCGGAGATAAAACAGGCATAGGTCAATAATTGTAATTTCGATGTGTTTTTTCCGTTGGTTTAGACAATTTTTAAACACTTTTCTTCAACGTTTCCCTCACAAATGACCAAATATTACCTAACCTAACCACCCACCCAGGAGGCTCCGCCCCCCTGGATCCCCCGGTATATTTAAGTAATTTGCAAGGGAAAGTCCCAGAAGAAAAGTGTCAGAGGTGTCTAACCCATCGGAAAAACACATTGCTCAACTCAAGAGCCGCCGTTGGTTGAAACTACAAATTGACCCAGGCATATTTCTAAATAGGCATTAGTTTTTCTTCTGCATTATTGTATCTGTTATTTTATGGCCATTACTTTCCGTACACATTTCTTCTTGCAAATGCTCACCTAAAATTGGAAATTGTGGATATTTTGATTTCTCCAAGTATCTCCCAAGTCAAGATTTTTTCATTCTTTTATATGTGGATAATGGGAGTCAAGATTACTATAAACACTATTTAGTTCAAGAACAATTAGTTTCCATTAGGTATGTGACACCTTTATTTATATAAGGAATTCGGCAATGGTTTTTACAAATGCGTGCAGCCTGATGCATTAAATTTCGCTTGTGATGTACTGTATGTAGACTTGGAAGTCGAGTTCTTTATGTGTTTATATTTCCTCACCGACCATTACAAACTCCCAAAGGTAAATAAATAACATGATTTTCGTTAGGGCAATGTTAAAGACCATAGATTAAGTTGAAATAATTAAACTAACATGATACCATTCTTTAAAATATACCTGCAAAGGATATCAATAAAATCATGAGTTCTTATACTGAATAGGAGTGTTATTTATGCTTTCTTTAACATATTTTTTCCATATTTTAAGAAATATTCATTGCTGCACTAGTTAAGTAATAAAATTGTCACCATAAGAGTCTAAAAAAATCCCAAGTTTACAGAACAGTTGAAATATACATCTTATATGACCGTCAGTTTGTTTTCTTGTTTTGATGGAAGTTCCCGCCGACCCCAGCCGCGCTGTACACGACACCTATCTGAAGAAGGGCTTCCCCACCCCACCTGGAGGACGAGGCAACTATCAGGCCGTGATGGGCTCTTCCTGGCACTTCATATCTGTCTGGCGCCATGATAACGGGAGATGCACCCCCCACCGAGCTAGCAGACACACCCCTGCCTGCTGTCTACTACCACTACCACCACTACCACTTCAACCATCATCACCCCCACAGTACAACAACCCTCAACTTGTTTTCACTGAGATATGTACAGAAATGGACCAGTGGACCGAGATAACTGGTGGTCACACAACGATCATGAACAGAGAAATGTGCACGTAGATAAGACACGGACGACATCAACATTTGTTTCGTGTTAAGGTTAAATTACCCGAGGCTTAGTTTGGTTAGGTCTAGTTGGTATGAACAGAACTATTTTTTTCTTCTAAATTTATAGGAGGACATTGTTCTTATTACAGTATGTCCATTTCACACACATCGATCCATTTTCTATTTGTAGTTGCACTTTGTTTTTAAAATACCACTGTGTAATATTTTCATGTGTATGTCTTCAGCTGAATCGAGTGACCCAGAGGCATTACTATACATACAGTACATGACATCCTGCTTGGTTTCCATTATGACATCCTCTTCTGTGTGGTCTATCATGCATCGAATATGTATAGCACCTTGGCCTGGTCTGTACACGTGTTCTAAACAACTTAAGACTGTGACATTGATTTGATTACAGTGTTGTGTAGTCTGTCTCGGGCACTCCTTCATGATAATCCTCCTTGTATCATCTTGAAAGTCCTGATCATAGCTCCACATATTCTGCGGTAGCTGTTTATGGGATCTTCCGTCTCCTTAGGTCTTCGGTGTACGGATAAAAATTCATTGACTAACCAATGGAACACCTAGGCACAAAAAGATTAGGCTAGGTTTTGTTCAACAATTTGACAATGAGCTGAAGTTTTCGGGCCACTGTGAGAAGAAGGTAAATCAGGCAAATAAATTATTGGGTCTTATAAGAAGGTCGTTCAGATATCTAGACGGTCCGTCCCTCGTGACGATCTTCAGGAGTGAAGTGCTTCCCCATCTGGAGTACTGTCACCCCATCTGGTCCCCGAGATATGCCAGGGACTGTCAGTTGGTTGAAAATGTTCAAAGGAGGGCCACCAAACTGGTGCCTGCACTTCGGCACCTCAGCTACCCTGAGAGATTGGAGCGCCTGAACTTGCCTAGCTTATACTGCAGACGGGCAAGGGGGGACCTAGTTGAGGTTTATAAGCATCTCAGGGGGCACTACTCAGTTGAGTGTCCTTACTTGGAGCTGGCGGACGCTCGCCCCACAAGGGGTCACAGCTCAAGATTGAAGAAGCCGCAAGTCCAGAAAACCGTGAGGGCAAACTTTTTCGGAGTGAGGGTTGTAAACTCTTGGAACAATCTACCAGAGAGTGTTGTGACGGCACCGAGTGTGAGCTCTTTCAAGAGAAGACTTGACCAACACTGGAGCGGGTTCAGGTACATTCAGGAGCCGGTGCATGCCCAGTACTTGCCAACAGTGCGTGACAGAGACGTGACCGATCGCCCGGGCGGCTAGCGAGCCGACCTTTTGGTGAAGAATATAAAGGAAAAGAGACGTGACCGATCGCCCAAGCGGCTAACAAGCCGATCAGTGGCGAAGAGGATAAAAGTAAAAGTAACAGCTCGGGTACCAGTCTTCGTTCCCCACCTCTGAATTATCGCGTGGATGGCCTTTATCTTAAAGTTAAAAATTGAAGACTCCAGACTACATTTGCATACTCTGAGACTGGACCAGGGCCTTATACAACCATGTAAAAGTTACAATATTTTAGGAGTAAATAATCGCCTTGTTGACGAGCCACAAATTACATTATGATACTAGACGTCAACGACTCACAAACAACAGTATAGAAGTCACACGCACGTCTTAATCCTTCTTTTGTTTTTTACCTCTCTTCATCCCCATTCTCCATACAGTACGTTTTGTGGCTGTGTTCTACTGACCTGCTAAAAGTTATCACCATTTATTTGTTTTGGTGAGAACAGAGGAGCCACTTGTCTGACTACTGGTGGATGTCGTCTTGATCCACTGCCCTGGGAGCTGTATGTGGCCCGGTGGTCGGAATATCTTCTTATCGTGAGTAAAAAGGGAAAATATCGGAAGACACTCAGGTAACCTAACCTCACGTAAATCAATCTCACTTAAACTATCCTGATTTAACCTAAACTCACTTAATGTAGATTAACCTTACCAAACTAAACTAAACCTGACAAATCAAACCTATAATCCAAACCAAACCTAACCTAACAAACTAAACCTAACCTAATTTAACATCCCGGTTAATGCAGCATCAAAACTATAGTCTACGCGTTACAAACTGGAGAATAAGTACAGTTCAGTAATCTGTAAGTTCAAAATAATAAGGATTTTGGAGTATATTATTGAGTCGTAAAAAACAAATAAACTGTGAGAAAATTAAATAACACTCGGACCGACACACATACTCACACACCTTTGACTTGACCTACTGTACATACTCAAAAAATTAGTCACGTTTGCAAACCAAAACCCAATTCATTGTACCAGATATCATCAAGTCGACTTAACCATTTTTAGATGTTTCTCTCTCTCACACACACACACACAGGGTAAACAAGAATTTTTGTCAAACTTCGGACTTAAAATTTATGTCTTGCGGGATAGAAATACATAAACTTTACAACGTACAAGGTACTCCATAAAAACTCAAGTCTCATTACAACTGATATATGAGAAAAATGTATATCGTGTTGAACTAAACCAACCTGATAATATATTGTCAGGAACTAAACAGAAACCGCTTGTGACGAATCGATAAAAAAAGGCAGAATAATTTCGAGGAAACGAAAAAATCACTGTTGCTTTGTAAATGAGTGTCGTGCGTTGTCAGCAGAATGTCAAAAGTTGGTGTGTGTGTGTGTGTGTGTGTGTAAAAACGCACTAACCTTTTATGTTAGTGAAAAATGGCCTTTTGTTTCGGGTGCTCCTACACTAAAAAAAGAAAAAAAAAAAAGCACTCTAAACTTTAACCTGGATTTAAAGGGTATGGCGTGTAATTCCCAGTCTAAACTTTTGCATTTACTCCATTCACTAAATTTTACATAAATAAGCATATGTCCTGTGTTTGCTTTAACTTTTACGTACGATGATTTAGTGGAGATATTGCTTATCCGTATAAGTATTTTAATTAAACAACACAAAAAAAATACACTGAACATGTAGTAGCCTCGCCTATAATAGTCTGGTTCTAGTTTTGCAAATTATAAAATCGTTAATACTTTTATGGTTCAATGAGTCATGGCTTAATTATCAGGTTTTTATTGCTTGAATTTATTATGTACAACTATATTACTAGTATAATTATTACTAATAGTAATAACAGTAGTTTGATGTTATAATGTTATTTCTTCGTCTCAACAACTGTTATTATTATTATTATTATTATTAAATCTGGAAGATGGCGTTAGTGCTATTTCAAAATATTTATCGCGCAGTGTGTAGGCGGTTATCTCAGGTTGCCGGTATCTCATCAGTGACAGGAGTGAACCTATCTATACCGGTTAAGTAATAAGCGACGAACACTAACAGATAGGGATCGTTATAAATAAAATACGAACATTGAAGACATTTAGAACTAAAGAAAATACATTGTCCCAGAATGAAAATAAATGAATAAAAAGGAGATTCGTTTGGTTTAAAACAAGATAAACGGATTCATTCTCAGCTCATGGGATGCTGTCTGCTAGGTACACCACTTACTTGTTTCACATATACCAGACACCCTGGAGTAGTAGGTGAGGGAGGCGTCTGCTCGGTAGGTCCATACGACAGGTTCCCTCAGGTGACAGGTGAGGCCAGCGTCACACCTGCCCAGGTAACCCAAGGCACCGCCACATACCTGGTAAGTGGTGAGCGTTGTAAGTGATTCAGGTTGATGTTTACGACTTGCTGTTTGAGTGGGCTTCTTGTTCCCTTATTAATGTTTACTGATTTTTATTTGACCCCTCATCTCTTGTTTGTCTCTCTCCGTTTACTTCTCTTTCTCTCACTATATATTTTATTCCACAGATTATACTTCAGTTTATGTAAGCAGTACAGGATGATGCAGCAGGCAGTCAGAGAGATAAGTCAGGTACATTTGTGGAACCCGGAGGATATATATCTTTAATTTATCCTCTTAGCTATTCATCGGCCTGTTAGCCACTTTGGCGGTTGATCATGTCTCCGTTAAATACTCTTAGTATGTACTGGGCATGACATGGCTCCAGAATGTGCCTGAACTTGCGTCATTGTTGGTCAAGTCTGGTCTCCCCCACCTAAAAAAATGTCCTGGCAATTTTCTGAATTTGTCTTCTTTAATCTGAAGCTGTGATCTCTTGTGGAGCGGATATATCATATCTCTTCTCTACAGTAATTTTATATCTTATTCCCCTTACTCGTCTTTCTATATTTTTCTTTCCCCTCTCTCCTTCATATTTCCCTTTCTATCTTTCTTGCTCTCTCGCCACGTTTAATATTTGCGCTATCGACGTACCTGTCCTAAAGTCTTGGCACAGACAGGGCAGCAGCCACACACCCCGCGCGTCACTCCACCAGGACACCGCAGACGTCTAGGCCGACGCTCCTCACAGTGCACCTGCCACATTAATTTCAGAAATTAATTTTAAAATACCCCTTGAACGTCATTCATCATAACAATTATTTTAAATTCATGCTTACACAGTTAACTTTCAGTAAACGATTAACAAATATCCAATACATAATATAAAAACAAAATAATTTACAGTATATTCTTCTGAGAATGCAGCTCACTGAAATTTAACCCCGTTTCAAAAGACACTGTATATATCAATAATTCGATTTCAAAAGAATCTGTTAATGTGCTATCACGATATTTGTTTAACTGACATACATACTGTACATACAACTCACCATACAAAAAGAGATCAGCCAAGCGGATTGTCGTGCTTATTCCACGAGGTACTATACAAACATGCTCATACCAGAGATTTGATATATTATTTTGAACTGTTGCGGGTAACGAGGTTGTATGATACAGGGTGGACACAGAGTGGCAGGAGTTCATCAGCGTCCGATTAAGAACATAACCAATCTACTAATCATTCCAGGTGCGAAAACTCATTGATAAGTTTCTGCGAGGGTCTACACCCAGTATAGAGACGGTGGCTACAAAGAAAATCGGTTCTTTTAGTTTTCTTGTGGCGTATTCTGTTTTGATGTTTTATTGTAATGATTTGCTTCGACATACAAGATCTTCCAGCACGTTCATCATTTCCTACACTAAACAAAAGACAATTAAAAAAAAGTGAGATTAATTATTGGAAACGCTGAAAAATCCGTGACATAATTTAGGTATACAATATTGTTTAATGTGCCGCACTGATAACTTGCCCTCCTCTCCCCGAGACATTCAATATCTGATTTATCTCACCACAACTCTTAGTCATCAGTAAAAAACTATGCACGAAATCTAATAGCTGCCAACGCATGACACAAGAATTCTTTTGTTCCCAATTATTCAGATATTTGATATATTTACGGGTGCTATTTTGCTATATTTTCAAGTCAAGTGACATTTAGAAGTTTATATTCCTATATTTTCTCTTTTAAACACAAATACAACTGAGCACCATTCTATGACCGAAAGTTTGTGATAATGTATGACTTCATTCGTCTGTCATTGAAAATTTAGTTACCGCTCAATAACCTGTCATTGATGTAATGGATTGATTTAAATGTAAGGTTGAAAGTGTACTGAATTAGGAAGTGTTCTTGGTTGAGGGTGTTGCGAGTGCGAGTGATTTTATAAAATGCTATACAGCCAGGAGCTCCGCCATTACCAGGAGGACATAATGTACAGGTGAGCTTAAAACACCAAGATTTTGATTTTGCGTCTCCGTTTCATTTGCATTATATGAGTTTTGTTATGTGGGTACTTTAATCAACAGCCGATTTTGATAGAGAAAATGTTTATGACCTTCAGTTTCATGGGACTAAATACACCATATGCATATATCAACATTCTGAATTCATGGGTCTTTAGATTGTTATTTATTTAAGTAAAATTACATAATGGTGCCTTCCAGACTGTAGCAGAATGATCTGGAATTTGAACTTTTTACCCATTTTTTCGGGAGTGAGGACAAAAACGAAAACAAATTGAATCCACTTATGGATGTTATCGTTTCTAGTTAATTATTTTCTTGCTGATTCTTGTTAATTTCATTAATTTCCCTGTCTCAGATGTGATTTCAACTTAAACGCTGTAAACATGCAAAACATTTATATACATCTAGCATGCTACTTTTACCTTAGAACAGGGAGGGCAGCGTAGTAACACAGAGTTGTCCTCCAGCACCTTCCCTGATCCTCCACCAACATTCCGCCGGTTGTTGGGGGAGCTGCGCCCAGTATCATCACCTTTTCTGCTTGGGGATGTGCTCCTGTCCAGTCTTGACGTAACCACTGAGGGAGAGCTATTGTGATGCTGGAGGCCAGGGTGGTGCCTTAGGCCAAGCTGGGGATTTTGGTCATGTCGTAAGCACAGCGTCACTTTCACCAGTGTCCACACACACAACACAATAATCAGCGTAATGCACGTTGAATTCATATTACAGTGGGAATACTACTATAGACCGTTTCTTATCCATGCGATGGGCTGTGGGGAGAAAATAGGTTTAGGTCCAGCATCAGGGAAAGCAAGACAATTTTTCACGTATAAACGAAATTCTTAGTGAATACTGTAGGTAATTAGTATGCTAACTCATAATGGAATTTTGTTGCACATCGGTATTTTATATTTTAATTATGTGCAAGGCGCCAAATTCATTTCGGTTTGATAGTGACAAGGGCAAAAGAAGTGTTTTCAGATGCTTCTACGGTGAGAAACAAGAAGTATAGGCTGTTTTTATATAATTAAAATGCAGACAACCAGTGTTTAAATAAAGAAGAATATATTGGTGTTCACCTATATAAAGACTATTTACTCCATGTAATAGTTTGTCACGATCCATAAAAAAGCTGAGGAAGGTAACAAGAAAAATGCATTACTGTACTCTTGAGGTAGGTCTAACTTGCTTGAAAGATTTTTTCTCAAAGAGTAAAGCGTTGGTGCTGCAAAAAAATATACCATTTTAATAATTAAACATAATGTTAAGATTGATCAAGAAAGAACAGCAAAAGAGCTACAACTCATAAGTAACGCGCCCAAGCAAATATTTGTCGATACCTGTACTGCCAAACTGTTGGGGAAAATTAAGGAGACAAATCATGGGTTAATGGCCCAGACTGGTGCCTGTACTCAAACACCTCACTTACCAAGAGAGATTTGAGCGTCTGCTGTTGGCCAGTTTATACTGCAGAAAAACAAATGGATACAGTCTCAAGCTGAAGAAACTACCACAGAAAACTCTCAGGAGTTTAGCGTTTAGAGTTTAACGTTGTAAATTTGTGGAACAAACTACAAGTGAAGGTTGTGGCAACACTTTGTGGGATTTTCTTAAAGTCAAGACTAAACCTGAATTGATACTTATTGAGAATACCCAAGACCCTATGCGAGACCAGTACCTGCCCACGGTGAAAATCCGAGGAGCGACCGCCAGGCCGGAAAATTGATAACGGAAGATGCCGTAAATAAGTGAGTGAGTACAGCTTGACGAGAGATGAATGTATAACACCAAAATTAATATATTAAGTAACTTAACCAAATGGAGACAGAATCTCGTGATGTTCAGTATTTTAGTCTAGTGTTTGTTGTTAGGTACAACGTGACTCGCTAAATAACCGCGAAATGGGACAACCAGAGTACACATTGAATCCCACCAGACAATTACCAACTACACCAAATCCCACCGCCACAGTTTTGAGTTGGACAAAATTCCACCAGCCTAAGTTCTACAAATCCTCGTAGCCTGTCCCGTTAGGACACGTTATGTCAGATTGGATGATGGACTTTGGCCATCAACCAAGGTAGTGAGCACTGTGCGGCCTCACCTCCCTGTGGGTCTATTTATGACAACAGAGGCAGATAACTTCAAATATTATCTGTAATCACGGTCCTGATATGTGATGCACTGATAGCTAAACCACAAGAAACTGAAAGTCTTGTCAGGATGGCGCCAAATACCTAGGTGGTGGCGCCATGGTAAGCCTAATTGCTGGCCACTCCCGTGCAACCTCACGTATATTGATTTTCAATAGTCGCGGCAAAATTGGTCTTTTTTCTATTATGATTTAACAATAAATACCTTACAGTTAGTTATAATATTTATTTGATATCAATACAGGCCATCGTGAGTCATACTAGCACGAAATCACTGTAATAATTGTTTGTCAATTCATGTTTTGAATCTAGATTATGTCATTATACAGAGCGTCCATCTTATCCACCCCTCGTAATAAGACCACTAATTCAGATAATTTGACATTTCACCTTTCGTCAGTCATATCCGGCAGGTACCGCTTCCCAGAGTAATACCAAGAAATATTTTTTGGTGTTTGTGGCCATTGAAACGCGGAATGGACTTTACATCATGGATTGTGAAGGGCCGTTCATCACTCTCCTCCTGTGACTTACCACCGGAGTTTTAAACATCTTCCCTCTCCGATGAAGAGCCTTCTTGTAGGAATTGTCACGCATGAAAACTTGCCGATATCCGATACAGATATCAAAGATGTTTGTCATGGAACAGTATCACTTAAATACTAATACACTAATACTTATACTAATTTGACGTTTGTTTTCTCTCGCAAACTTGACACAACGAATTGATTGAACATGTTGGCATCTATGTGTCACTTCATTATCGAGCAACAGTACATAAACATTATCCCTTTACAAGGCAAATTACTGTAGCATAAAATAGTCAGTCTTACACTTATTGTAACTGTATACTATGTCAGAAGTGAAGAAAATTCTCATAGTCAATTGGAATGAGCTTATGTATGTATGTGAAAATAATGAACCAAATTCAATGGATTTTTTCAGTAAGAAATCGGGTAACTGTGAGGAAGGTTGGTGGGGAGGCTGCTGTTACTAACTTTAATCAAACAGCCTCAAATCGACAGTGACATGGATCAAGGTGGCAGTAACAGAGGTCATTGTTACAGAGAAAGGTTAGAATGGAAATATTAAGGTTATTCTGAGTTCTCAATGACAATATCATTATGATTTAATTTACTTTACTGTAATGTGTATAAAGATACAGTATGTCTAGAATTTCTTTTTTCTAGAACTTCACCAATTAGTGGCACCTCTATTTTTATAGGGTGATAATGTTTTTTTTTAATGCGGTTAATGGGAACAGCATAAAAAAGTCGTAGTTAATGTGGTTCATGTACACCGGTACGTACACGCCCAGTTTCTCAAGATCTCAAACTTAGCGCCACTCTCGTTGTGTTTACGACCTGCGCGGTTGTTGACCGTTTTCTCTAATTAAGTTGCGACACCAAGAGTGCTTGCAAGGGGTTACATTAAGAGTAAAAACATGTTTACCGGTATTAATAATAGTAAAATACACTTTAAATATTCATAAAATAAACTTAATTAGCTTCAGTTTTGGTTTAATGAAATATTCATTGCTTGTTTCACTTCATAGAGAAACGATGTAAATGTGATATACTTGCGAGAAATGTAGTAAATTTAAGTATTAAGCGACTATTTTATAATATAACTATTCTGGATTTACTATCGATAGTTGTGTATTAGTAAACCTTGTAATATATATCATCTTTATACCTGACGAAGAGTGTACACAAAAGTCAATTTAAACCCCGGTAGCGGTGCAGACGACAGTCCAACATGGCGGTCTTCTGATATTGACATTCGGGAATGAATTCTGACATTTCTCGCTTCAAGTTATGACACTGTGCTCTTTCTGATCTGGCCTGAGACATATGAAGGTGAGGCCGGAGCCTTGGCTTCTTGGGGCAGGAATTTGAATGCGATAAAAGGGAATATCTGGGAATAAACACCCAGAAAAAGTTTTGTGTTGACATTTGATCGTAGATGAAGGCTCGGAGATCAATTAGGGGAGGGGCTGGTCATAGCCTCTCCTTTAACTCCACACAGTCTCCATAGTCTTCTTTACTCTACCAAACCTTGATATGAAGTGAATGATAACTGCTAGTGTACTTGTGAAGGACCAGAGGTAACTGAGAACGGCAATTAACATGAATCTTGTTTTATATATTTTTCATTTGTACATATTTAATGTTGAAGTTTGCAGTGTAATTAATCAATATCTTGCACATACACTTGATGCTAGATGTTAAATATGTCCATAAAATACTTATATCACGTATCAGTAAAGTGACCCAGTTTGACAGTCTTGCAGTTGTTTGTACTCTACAGGCAAAGTAGGTCAACATTTTGGTTTGTGCAAAATTTCAGGGTTTTGCCTAATACTAAAAGAATTGACAATATTTTACAGTGTCCTGGTAATTGTGGTGATTGATTTACAGATATTCGTGAAGGTTATACAGTTGTATGATAACTGAGTCCATTAATATTGGGTGATTTTGAATTTGTACCCAACTGCAAGGTCCACCTCACAGTGAAGGATTGTGAATGGTGATTTTTTTTTTACAGTTAATAATGGTTTAAGTCGTAATGGTCCAGTATTATCCAGTAATATAGTTATAATTTTTTTTCTTTGTTAATCACAGTGAGAAATATATTTTACTGTAGTTAGCTAATTATTATGATACCTGAAGCCCATGTGTAAATCATTGCTTAGTAAGTGTTGGAAAGAGCCAAGAAGGTTTTATAAAAAGTTTTGGTACCATACATTATTTCGGTTAAAGTGTCTATATGTTTTAATCTTTCTCTCATTGATGTTCACAAAAGAAAGTTCATTACTAATCAGTTAATTTCAATACCATACCAGGAAGCAATACTGTACATTAATATTTAAATAAATCCTGAATGTAAGTTCTATTATTTTCTTTGTATTTGTTATAAATTTGATTGTTAGTATATGTCAGATGTTTTTATATACTTTGTTAGGCTTTGTTAATTGTGCTCATTATAACTAATAAATGTAGTTTTATGAATAAATATATGCTAGAGTGTGTAAATCACTCAGAAAGTTGCCAGGTGTTTGTAGGTACAGTGACCTACTTTTGGTGAGTCCTCACTTTAGTTTGTACCCAAGACAGAGTAGGTCATCCTTGTGTTGGCTCCTGATTTTCAAGAATCTTCTCTGAAACTCCAAGCTATTTTAGAGATTTACTATATCTTAACCACACTGGTAACTATACTATATTATATAATGCATCAAACTAAAATATTTTGGAATAATTTAGTGCATTGATATGAGATCTTGTGATGTCCAGCCTTCGATATTTTTGGTAGTTTATTATAGAAGTGGAATATTCATTTCCCTTAGTACTGTACATATTAACATAGGCCATCCCTGCTGACACTGTTATCATCCTAAGTGACTAACTTGGGGGAAAATTCTGGGTGCCTTTGTTCCTTTGTTTATTTTGATACTCTGTAGAATGTTTTTGTTGGAGTTTAATATTGTTACTGCTGCTTCAGAATTCAAGTGGAGTTTTTCAGTGGTCTGTGATTCTTTGATGAGTGTTGTAAGAATTATGGGAATTTTTTTTATTAGACTCAACAAAGAAAGACATTGTGAAGTTGAATGAATCTTCACAGAGAAAAGTTAATCTTACTCATCTCACGAACAAGTGGTCGGGTCCCAGGCTACCATGAGTGTGTTTCTTGCTTATTTGCCTTTGTTTATCCAACAGTGATTGGAGACTTGGTTGCTAAGTGATTGGTAGATTGTGTTCTAGGGTAATGGTTAACCAGTTGACAAATTGGCTAGTCTCTCTGGGTTATTCTTTAACTCTGGGTTATATAACTTACCTCAGGGTATGGTTGTTGTGTTGGTGACAGCCTCACCATAAACCAATTCATGCTTAGCTGGCCTTAAGGCTGTCAGGCTGTCCATTCTGAAAACAAGGGTAACCATTATCATTATGAAAAATTATTTCCACCCTTTGTTTATTTGCTGGAGATTTAGCTTTACCACTATGTTCTTATATAAAGTTACATGATTATATGAGATAAGCAGCTAATTTGTCATTCATACTTTATTGGCTGTGCAAGAGTTGAGGTTTTCATTATGTACAGTATAGCCCTCAGTGGATGCCTGGTGGTGTGTCATTTGTGGGGCTGACATTTCCCAAGTGTAATCTGTAAGATGCTACAAACAATAGGTTTAACTTAAGACTGTTTTATTGTCATCCCCTTAGCAAGTACAGTACAACAAATTATTCATGCAAGTTAAACCAGGCTACCTCGAGTGTGTATACACCTAGCTTGGGAGGAGGAAGTCCTTTACATTATAAAGTATAATAATAATTTTCACTTAAGTCTTTGGAGAGTACAGTATTGTGTGCTTCTTTGTTACTGTGACTTAGAATCCCTCTCTCCTCTCTTGTTAGGTTTCTTTATCAGCAAGAAAAATATAGTGTTTCAGAACTTGGAGACCCATAGTATTACTGATTGGAGTTTCATGATAAAGAGTAAACTGGCTTAATGTTCACGCCTTGTGACTAATTGGTTTGCTAGCTTTTGAAGCAACCATCAAGTCACTCAGGGTTTATTGCTGTCTTTCTGTGAACCTTGGCATGATAGGCTAGCAGCTGTTTACTATCAATTTGTACTGATTAGAGAGAACAACTTTTTGCTGGAACATTATACCCCAGGACAAGACAAGCACTCTTAGAATGTTAGTCAAATCAGGTGCATCTTCAAGATCACTTTTCTTTCCCCTCATCCATAAAATTGGCTATCATACTTTAATCCTTAGTTTTTTAGTTTAATGACAACCAGCTACAGTAGTTTATTGGTTTTGCAGTGTTTCTTTTACTGTTTTAATCTTACATATTTTAGTGTGAAGGATAATATACTCATAGATTCTTGCAATTAAGGATCTTGAGAATTATACAGGTCTTATTGTAAGGAGAGAATCATTACCAGACCTTATGGAGGTAGTCCACATAATGAGTACAGTAGCTGCAATATTTTGTTTCAGTACATGTTACCTATAGGTTTGTGTTGATTTGAATAATATAATTGACAGGTACTTAGGCACAGAATACAATGAGAAATATTTTCGTTTCTTGTAAAATGGGTTGGAAAAGTATGAATTTTGCATTTAACCAAAGTTTTGTATTGAACATAAAAAATAAATTAACTTGTTGAATTTATCATGAATAACCCCAAACTTGACTAAGTAAATTATTGATCTTTTATATTTAATGTTTTGATTATATTGTATTAATTACCTGTATATTATTTGTATTTTCTTGCTTTTTTACAAGGAAATATAAATGTTATATGTATTGCAGCATTGGTGGTGGTAATAAGACATCGGCATGACAGCTGTGATGGCCGCTGGAGACTCAGGTAGCCTGTGTGAGTTAACGTGCATCCCACGCATGCAGCATCCTGTTTCTATTGCATCGTCTCCTACTCTACTTGAACACCTCTAAGGAGTGACGCATATATACAGTATACAGTATATGTATAAACTGGTAGATTGGTTGGTTAATGTTCAAAGTGTATGGTTAAAGGTACATTTGGCCTATACTGATTTAGAAAATTCCAAATCTGTGTTACCCATTTTGATCTGAATTCTGTTATTTCATTGTATATAGAAAATTGTTGGTTGTGTGTACTGTATTTTGGGATTCTTTATGTTTTGTAATTAATAATTGATGATAATAAGTTGTTACATAAGTAAAGTTAATTGGAGCACGATATTGGAATACAGTACAGTACAGTACAGTATTAAGATGGTTCTGTTACTTCCCTCCACCAGAAACCTCACACCTAATCTGGGGTTCATGGTAAACCTCACATCTCTAACCTGGGTTTCCTGGGGTTCATGGTAAACCTCACACCTAACTTGGGGTTCATGGTAAACCTCACACCTAACTTGGGGTTCATGGTAAACCTCACACCTAACTTGGGATTTATGGTAAACCTCACACCTAACTTGGGGTTCATGGTAAACCTCACACCTAACTTGGGGTTCATGGTAAACCTCACACCTAACTTGGGGTTCATGGTAAACCTCACACCTAACTTGGGGTTCATGGTAAACCTCACACCTAGCTTGGGGTTCATGGTAAACCTCACACCTAACTTGGGGTTCATGGTAAACCTCACACCTAACTTGGGGTTCATGGTAAACCTCACACCTAACTTGGGGTTCATGGTATTTGTTTAAGTCTAGAATCATTGGTGTAAATATCCTTACCATCATATTGAACTTCTAACAAGGTTTTAGCTGTGTAATAGCTTCTCCTTCTTTCATATTTTAGTGACGCCATTGATGGACGCTCATGTGATTGACTCATTCTCCATGTATTGGTCATCTTAAACATGCAGATACTGTATTTCCTCAAACATTTCAAAAGATTATTGACAGATTTGACTGAAATTTTGCACAATCTGGTACAAAGTTATTAAATTTTGATTACAGTTGAACCAAAGTTGTGGTGACTGTAGGTCATGATGGCATTGCTAAGAGTTTGCTCAGTGCAGCTCTAGTGTAGTTTCTCTGTTGCTCAGCTTCTGACGAGCATGTTGGGTTAAATCTTACGCTCAATGATAATAAAATTTGTAGTTATAGAAAATGTTTGGCTGTAGGACATTGACAAGAAACTAACCAATTTGAAATGTATACAGTATTTAGATAGAAGCTGATTCTCTCCTTCAAGGATAATCCACCTGCTTCACCACTTCACCATATACTACTGCAAAAGACATGTAGAATGCTGCTGACTCTACTTTATTTTTTAGTCTTGGCAAATGCAAAAGAATTTTCTATTCACTGCAATGTTTTTATTCATGTTTATATAAATGAATGTACTGTATAGCAAATTTATTTATTTTTCTACCAAAGCTGTTGTGCCTGTTTTAAAGAATGGGATCAAGGCTTCAGAGGCAGAGAAGTAGATAGAAAAGAGTTTGAGGCTCAAGAAATAATAGCCTTTATTTCATCATCCTTTGGAGAAACTTTCTGCTGATGTTCCTTTGGTTAATTAAATTGTCTCTAGTTATCAGTGTATTTTATGCATTTGTTTGCATAGCAGGTTTAGTACTGTACCTCTTAATTAAGGATTATTATTTGATTACTAATCCTGCTATAGGATGCTAAGTGCCAGGGTCACTTTATTATTTGTGGGGGGTGGGGGTGCTCTTCAGGACTTCACAGTGATGTGTCTGGACTGTGTTGTGTTACCTGCCTCTAGAACTTGTGAAGTTTGCTGGCCCAGCAAACTCCAGCAGAGGTGTTCTGATGATGATATTGTGCAGTTTATTTGTGGGTGATGACTACATTATGAAGTACTGTATTGTATGAATTCACAAGCTCAGTCTGTGTGTGTTGTCCAATTTTTGCATCATTCTCTTGTGTACTGTATACATTTACTGCACTCATTATTTTCTCATGGTTTTAAGAATTAGTTTTCTTGCCAGTACCAGCTAACATGTCTGTGATGAACTATGTTATATAATTGCTATTACTTTCCAAATATTGTGTATTTGCTGCAGAGTTTTTATATGTTTTACAATTTTACAGTTCACTGTGAAATGATAATAGTTCTGCACATTGTGATGATGATGAAAGAAATGTCTGTATTTCAGTTTTTGTATGTAAACTGATTGACCACTTTAATTGATAATAATTTTGTAAATTAGTTTTATGCTAAAATCCTTTATTTCATACAACATAATTATGCAGCTGTCTTTCTTTGCAAGCAGTCTGATTTATATCTCTTTATATCATGTTTCCTCTTCCTCTATGCAGATGAGGGTCAGCATACATCTAATAATTCATAACCTTTGGCAAGCAATCATTTACACACCATCTAGATATCAACACTAATGGTAACCCTCAGGGCATCTACTGGCAAATTCTTCTTGTTGGTTTAAAAATCATTATTTTAACAAAGAAAATGGAATGTCTGAAAAAAAAAAGAGAGTTGCTCTCAGTTAGTTCAATTGCTGATTGATTGTCAATATCCCCAGGCATTACAGCAGGATAGAGGAAGAGGACATCATGGGATAAAGCTAATAGTCCAAATAAGCAAAATAGTAATCAGTGAAGGTGGTTGTGGTGTTTGAGAGTGTGGGAGCAAAAGCACACTTGGATGGAGTTTGCATGAGTGATGGGAGACAGTCACTCTGCTGTCTATTACACTGTTTTCTCACTTGCTATAAAATAAGCATGTTTAAGATTAACTCATTTGTTGTGATTTGATATTGCACACTTAAAATATTATCTTAATAAGTTATTAGTATGACGCTAAGAAACATTGACTTTAACTTTGATAAATTGTCTAAAATTTTTGCTTGTGGTTTTCATGTAAAAAAAATTAATTGTATTTGATACATTATAATCATATTGAATACACTGGTGCAGCTCTGGGTGGTCTGCTGTCCTCCCTGGAGAAAGCCCGAGTGCAATTGGACAGCGATGAAGATGACTTTGGCTTCCTTGCAGACCTGCTCAAGTCCCGAGAACTACAAGCACTTGTTCATGTACATAATAAGGTAATGCATCTCTTAATGACTTATTATTTTCTTTCATACTCGGGAAATTTTTTTGTCTCTACTTAAAGATTATTTCAAGGAATTGTAAAAAAAATTATTATTTTCAATCTCTATTTTATTTGTCTGATATTTTCTAGAAAGTATACTACAGCCAAGATAATGTGCTTGAAAGATTGACCCCAAACCTTCATCAGTTTTACCCGTGCTCAGAAATCATGTGACACGTGACGTCCTATTGAAGGTGTCCCAGTGAAGCCTCGGTATGTGGCACCTTACTGTGGGTCATCCTGATTCCACTTATACTCATTGAAAGTCTTAACATGGCCTTAATTACATTTTTATATGCATCAAAACATGGCTTCAGCTGAGCTTTGTTTTTAATTGGCAGATCCTTCACCAAATGGATATTTTTATTCTCAAGTGTTTGAAGGCCACTGTCACTGAGAGAAACATTTGCCTTTTAATAAGTAGAAGAATTTTTTTTTGCTTTACGTAAGCAGAACTCTTATTTCTCTCAGTAAAGAGATACATAACCTTTGTAAATAATTGTTTCATAATTTAATGACACATTGCCGAATAGATTGAAAAATATTGCCATTCGGTGAGAGTAGCAAACGGCAACATGAGCCCTGATTGCATTTTTTTTTTAATCTTTCAAGCAGTGTTACAACTTATAAACTCCAGCTGTACTGATGGAGCTCAAGTTAATGACTAGATTATTACGTGTTTTGCTTATACTGTACCTGTAGTACCTTCACACAAAAAGATGTATATGCACTTGTATACAGTACTGTATTTTGAAACTACAATTTTCTCAATGTAAATGCCTGTGTGAACAGAAACACTATTTATTCTATGGAGTCACAAGCAACATTACATATTTTTTAATTAGAATTTATTGAAAGAATTCACTTATGATCATTATGATACCTATTTTTATGGCTTATGGCCATTCAACAAATGACCTACAAGATAACACCTTGGAACACCATTGACAGAATTTAACATTATCATGGGGCTCTCTACACTCTTTGGGAGGGACATGTCCTACTGAATCAATGTAAATTGAAACAGTCTCTGACCCATGTCCAGCAGTTTGCTTGATTTGGACCGTACAATTACTGTATCCGTTTAAATCACAAAGTTCATTCCTTCTGCAGTGTACCTACCACTTGCCTAATGTCAGGAAGTTTGTGATCCATATTTATGACTGAGTCAAGCAAACCAGCTCCAGGGTTCATCAGGATGTACCTGCTGACTCACTTGTTTTTTTTCAGCAACCACTACTTAAGGGTTGAAGCTTGTTTCTATAAGCTTGGTTGACCTCAGTGAGTAGCTGTTGGTGAAATTATTTACATTGATCTGACAGGACAGTACCCCTGCCTAAGAATGCAATGCAAGGCAAGGCAAGGCAGGCTCTACAAGGAGCTCTTCTAACAGGGTAATCTTGCAGGCCACTTGTCTCTTCCCTTCAGCCTTAAAATTAGATTTTGTACTTCATTCCTTTGTTTCAGGCTACTATTGTCTTCCTTTACCAACATCAATATACTGTACTAGTGTAGAGCTGTGGCAATCGATGGCCTATATAGTGGGGATGAGTTGGATTTGAAAATTTAATTCTCGTTGACACAATCAACATGCTTAAGAGAGGAACACTTACTAGGAATTTCAGATATACTGTACATGTATGGAAGCCTTGATTCACTCTGATTTTCACATCATGAGTTGGAGATCAGTAGAGTTATTGTGAGGCTTTGTGCACCTCTTCCAGCATCACGTGAAAATGGTGTATGGTTGATGGAGAGATACAGTAATCAACTTTTATTCTGTGTATGCATTAACAATTTTCTCAGTTCACTATATTTTCCTCATGATAAAAGGAATATGATCCATCATCCATTAATATATACAGGTATGTGATGGTATGATGCCATAACATATGACAAGAAAATTTTATATTGCACTTTTATATTTTGTACAGTATCGGTATGTTGTACACTATCTAAAATATTATTCATAATCACTTTTCCTTCATATTACAGAATTCAATAAATATTTAATTCTGTCTTTGGTGTACTGCTAAAATTGTCATGGTATTCAGTAGTTCAGAGACCTCATAGTCTAAAGGAGTATGGTAAATGACAGAGATTGACATGATAATGATAAAGTTCATAAATTATGCATTGATTATATCATTGTATTAAATTGAGCGAGAGGAGATACTGTGAAAAATAGGGAAGTGAAAAAGAATATTTAAGATGTGAATTACAAATCATTCCTTGCGCTAAGTAACACCAGTAAAGATGGCAGGAGTTGGTACAGTATAGTATTTTATGTTTTGAATGTCATGTACAGGTGTCCGCCGTTTAGCGATCGTTCACTTAGCGATAATTCGGTTTTGCAATTTAAAATATCTTTAGTGCGATCTTCAACTCACTAGGAAACTTATTTTCAAGGCCGAGACTAAACCACTTGGCAAGGGAACCACTACCTATGAATCAGCCAACCTGAGTTTTAGAAATCATTATCTAGCTTTTCCAGAGCAAAAACAAATTAATTTTTTGGTAACCAGAGAGGGTACATATCTAAGTTTATTCGCTAGTTAGCCGGAACAATTGGTGCAGAGCACTTCCGGAATGAGAGATTTCCGGGTAAGGAGACGACTCTCTCAAAGCCGGAAAAAAATTCCCTCATCACCAGGAATTTTCTGGGTAACGGAAAAATGTTCTCGGAAGTTCCAGAAATTGCCGATTGCATCATCTCTCGAACCCGGAAAAATATCCCTCATCCCAGAAAATTTTTCTTGGAATTTCCAGAAAATGCACCTGATTTTCATCCTTAAAACCTGGAAAAAATCTCACCCATCCCTGGAATTTTCCGGGTATCGGGAAAATTTTCCGGAATTTTCCGGAAAATGTGCCACTCAAAAAATCGTTCCCAAAGCCGGAAAATTCCGGCTTTGGGAACGATTTTCCGAGATAATTTCAATTCCGGCTATCGGAGAGTTCCAGGTTTGAGGGATTCCGGCCTATGGAGATATTACTGTACTATAGAAATCACGTATTGTAGGGGACCGGTGCGCCACCTGCGAACCCAGGCCGTTATTACATTAGTGTTTACCCTGCCTTTAAATATTGTGATTTGTGCTTTACTATATTGCTCTGTGTATTATCAATCGCTGTGCATCATTCCTATTGCTGTGCATTGCTGTTATTGTTGTGACTTTGGCGTGTTATTGAGTACTGTACGGACTGTTCATTACCCTGTACTATTGTGATATTGTGTACTAAAGTGATTGCTCCTCCCTCCCCCTCCGCTCTTGTCGGCTAACAGGCGGACCAGGTAAGGACTGTTTACTGTATTCCCTATATGTTTTTGACCTGATGAAAATTTTTTTTTTTTTTTTTTCTTTTTTTTTTTGCACATTCTGTTTGAACGAATGTGTGTGCATGTAACAGATTGCAAGAAAATGAAGAAAATTGCGTATACAGTATCTACCTGAAATTACGAGTTGAAGAAGAACATATCTCACAGCTCAGCCTCCCCCGCTCTGAGTGCAGCTGGGTGGTGAGTCAACCAGGCAACTCCGCTACACAATTACGTGCCATCTCCATGGATATTATTCCTCGTTATCCTCTGTTTAAGATATTATTTCTCGTTTCTGTTTGCTCAGCGATCAAATCACTTAGCGATCTGTTTTTCAGGAACGCATCCCGATCGCTAAACGACGCATCCCTGTTTTAGATTTTATTACACCAGTTCTTGTGAGTAACTCTTATAACACCAATAAAATCAAATTTTCCCTTTCACCATTTTAATAAGTAGTCCAAGAATGTTCTTACTCCTCAGCATTCCACAGATCTACCATTAACTGATGTACTTTCTAGATTGGCATAATTTTCTGAGCGACATTTATTTGTTCCTTTGGATAAGTCTCTCAGACTGTCACCTATTTCTCAGACAGGCACTCACATAGATTTCCTTTCACTTTCATCTTCTCTCCAAGAATAAACTACTGGATGATTTTTTTTAATACATACATATAACTAAATATCAGAAATGTATATTCTTGACAACAGCTGATCATAACTAAATATCAGAAATGTATATTCTTGACAACAGCTGATCATTTCACAATATCTTTGATTTATTTCCTTAACGGATGCACCATAAGATTGAAGGTAGTACAGCTCTCCACAGTCTCTCACAACACTGCTGGGAATGCATAGCTACATTTTATAAAATTATATAATTGCTTAAAAAAGCTTTGATGTAATGTTGTTGACCTTCTCGATGCAATAAATTGGATTATATAAATAAAATTATATGGGAACTCACATTAGTAGAAGTGTGAGGAGTGTTCTTGTATTAATATACAGCAGGTATACAGTATTTACAGTAAGAGACAAATTCTGGGATAGTGAAAGACATAACTGATGAGTCAAGTTACTCCTGAAGTACAAAGTAACTGTTCTCATTATTTCAATAATCATTGTAATTTTAAGCCATTCAATATCAGAACTAAAGATAGTTTATTTGAATATTTTAGGAATTATATCTATTCATCAAATTTTGATTGACAGTTGTTTTTAACAGCAAATTTCTGCAATGTTTATCGGAACTCAATAATATTTCTTGAAATTATTCTCCAACAGATCAACCGCACCAAGAAGGCCTGTCAGCCACTTATGTCCAATGCGGAAGACATTGCCATCTCCATCATGAGGGAGATACATTATCGCACCATACCCTCTGGTGATGCCATCGAACTTTTTGCCATCTTACAGTCACCCCACCTACAAGTAATGCACTGTGTTCTTACTTTGAATACTATTTACAGTAGAAGTATATCAGTCATTAGTTTTCTATGAAATGCTAACAAGACATCTTTAAGCTTGAAATTTTTTTAATATCTTAGTTAAATGTTCATAACACATTATATGATACAGTATATACTTGTACTGTTTTCTTATACTGTAGTCTGTCTGGAAGGTTATGATATGGTTGGCCTAGTTGGATATGATGCAGTCAATTAAATAGTTTCCATATGAAGAAATCTTCTCCTCTGTGGCTTGTCAGTCCTCAAGGTTATGTTTAGAATTGTCATCCTCATGAAAACTTTTAAAGAAATGAACAAAAACAGGTATAACATGTGCACATTTGGAGGACACTGATTTAACCTGCCTAGATTTGCACACTGACATCTTTGTAATGTAGTGCGCTCACAAGACAAGTTAAGACTGACCCAAGCTAATGATATCATTTATGTTTCGAAATCTTTATTCCTTGGTTACTAATGCTCTTTCATGAGAGGGTTATCTCCAATTGGGTTACTCGGTATGTAATGGCAGAAATACTCAGACATTATGCCATGGATTAATGGGAAACAAGTACCAACACCATCCTTTACTAAAAAAAATTACCTCTATATTCCACATTACAGCCCTTATGTACCATCAGTTGTACACTAAAATACAAAATTAGACATAAAAAGTTTAATTAGTGATAGATTACTCAATTACTGTAACTAATGTCTTTCTATCATAAGGGCTGGTAAATGGGTAGAGTGTGGCGCCCAACAGCATCACACTCCCTGTTGCTCTCTACACTTTGTTCTGCTTCGCTGTCTGTTCTGTACAGTACGTAGTGTATAAATGTATATGTAAAAGACTAAATAAAATAAAATATTAAAGAGTTAGCTTTTATACTTATGGTATTGTATTTGTTAACTCAAACTTTTTCATCATAGGGAGTTCTCCAAGCTCATGATAGCATCGCAGCTAAGGATTTTGTACCGCACTTACCAGAGATCCCAGTAGAAGTTGATGAGGATGAGGAGACTGTAAAAATTGTGCAGCTAGTGAAGAGCAATGAACCAATGGTATGTAATGATCTTCCAAAGTTTAAGGTCTTGTAATGCTTTCCTACAATTTGAATATACACCATGTCACTTCAAAAAATTCTATAGCATTGGATTGCATCTTTTTTACATTTAAAAGTCTTTCACAAATTATGCCTTTAAAAACTTATGGATAAAAGATCCCAGTTATTAGTGATATCCATGCCTGTTTTAGATAATTGGGAAGTTATGAAGGGAGGATAAATTCTAGTGTCTTGTGAGGCTCAGTGGTAAAAATAAAGAAATAAATGAGTTTATTCCAGAGACCAGCGACCATTAGTTATGCTTTATAGATAAAAGTCACAGCGAGAGTTTATAATACAAGGGAGTGTGATTTGAATTATGTAGAATTAATGAGTATGTGTGTGTGTGAATTTTGGCCATCACCTCTATTGTATGACTATTCATTTAATGCTAACCACAGGAAGGGAAGGGAGCTGAACCAATTGTGGTGAGTAAGAACAAATATTTATGTAGACATATTTTTCCTAATAAAACATAAATTAAAGTGCTGCCATAAAGATCATGTCCAGAGTTTTTCATGTACCAGTGTTTATTATATATATAACCTTATAAATGTTTTGGAAACATTCATATTATTTATTTCACTATACATACTATATATGTGTCATTATATATACTGTGTGTGAGAAATATTTACTGTTTGTGGTGTGTACAGGGTGCTACTATCAAGCATGACGATCGAACAGGAGCCATAGTGATTGCCCGTATCATGCATGGTGGTGCTGCTGATCGTTCTGGCCTGATACATGTTGGGGACGAGGTGCAAGAAGTCAACAATTTAAACGTAGTTGGCAAAACTCCAGCTGATGTCCTAAAGATACTTGTAAGTTTGGCTCTTAACTGAATGTGTATCCATGATCTGATTAAAAAAAAATTTGTTGCTCATTTAACAGAAGAGACTAAGTTTTATTAAGTTTTAACATCTTTGTGACCAAAATGTGTTTGCATACCTTGATAATTTTCATTATAGTATTTGTAATACTGGGAATACAGTATGTATGGAGACTTTGATGGCATCTTAATGTCAAAATGGCAATTGACATTGCTAGAATATGAATTATTTCAAGGAATTTCCTGCATAGGATGACAGTGGTTAATGTAAATCTTTGATGCCCATTATTGTCATTGATACAATCAGTGTTCATCAATAATCACACTCCAGTTTTGTGTTAGGCTCCGTGTAATGAGAGCCACTGTTACATGCAGGAAACTCCATGGTGGAGTCTGTTGTTGTAAAGTGAAATTTGTTTTTTGACATTGGTTATCAGGGAATTTAAGTGTGAGTGAAAAGGGTAGTGGATATAACTTACACAGCCTTAACAAGAGCATTTAGTAAAGTTCTACATTGACAATTGCCTATTTGCTTAGTGAGCTCTTAAGTGTGGTTAACTGGAGTAATGTCTTCCTGGCTTAATAGAAGTCAGAGTTGATTAATGTACATACAGTAAATGTTTTCTGTTATAACTGGGTTAGCTACTGGGCAGTTAGTAGAACCTTGAACAAATCCTTTAATTAATTTGATTTTTTCATAGATGCAAGCAGAAGGCACCATCACCTTCAAGCTCCTTCCTGCTGGCAGTGCAGCTTATTTAAGAGAGAGTAAAGTACGTGTTCGTGCCTATTTCGACTATGACCCCAAAGAAGACAAACATATCCCCTGTAAAGAGGCTGGACTTGCATTCAAGAAACAAGACATCCTTCACATTGTCACCCAAGATGACCCATATTGGTAAATAATCAACTTTTAGGCCTTTTTCACTCTAGTCGAGTGTTTTTTCGTCACAAAACTTAGATCAGTAGAGTTCAATGGGACCTTTCTCACAGACGTCCATTGATTTCTGAGTCATTTTTGGAAAAAATGGTAGTACAGGTTGTACCTCTCTAGTCCGGCATTCTGTGGTCCGGAAACTCCCGTTTGTCCATATTAACTCACCGCACCTTATTAATACCTTCACCCCTTACCATGCACTGGGCTACTAGTGACCTAGCACGGAAGACTTGTGATATAGATTTTTTCTTTGGAAAGATTTCTTGGCGACCATTTTTTTTCTTTTTTCATGTAGAACCAAATACTGTAAATTCTTATGTAAAATTGGTTATAGTTTTCAAAATACAGTAGTCAACTTGTATTTTTTACAACAAAAATGAGTAAGCATAAAAAATGTATTGTATACTTTAAAAAAAATGAAAATTATTTACATTGTTGAAATTGAAAATTGGGTATGCATAATAGAGTACTAGGGTTGATATATTGAAAAAAAAGCAATATTGAGATTTTTCCCAAAATTTTCACACTTTCCCCCCCTTCTTCTTCTTCTTCTTCTTCTTCTTCTTCTTCTTCTTCTTCTTCTTAGTTTGTACTGTACAGGAGTATAAATGTATAGGCAAATTATGGTGTTTTTAGAGTTTTGCCACCATGTATGATCTGGCTGTAAGCAATTATAATTTAAAAAAGATCTTACCCTATGTAGTGTAGGCTACTGTTATGTAGCGTACCCAGTACTGGAGTGTAACTATGGAGGGTTGCCATATATCTCAATAAAATTTGATTACCATGAGAGAGTAGGCCTTGAGAAATGCCACACCAAAATGTCTTGCTTCAATCAAAATTTCTCAAATTTTTTTTAGATTTTTTTTCTTTTGAATGATGCATAAATTAGTCAGGTGCAAATTGTATGAGACTAGAAATGAATGTAGACATTGTGTCATGGTGAGTGAGAGTTAATTAACACTAAGTACAGTAATGTACTCCAATTTAAAAATTTGAAACCCAGACTCTTTGTATGAAAAGTTTGAACAAAATCTAAATTGGTGTTTCCTGAGCCAATAACACATTTTATCTGGAATGTGAAAAGTAAGATGTGTGAATGATAAAGTTAGTCTTTATTCCTGTTCAAGTATTTTAATATATTTTTAATTTAGAATATTTTCTTTGTTGAGAACTTTTTAAATACAGTATTATGTCACTGATATTTTTAGGTGGCAAGCACGAAGAGAAGGAGACCGTAACATGCGTGCTGGACTGATTCCCTCTAGGCAGCTCCAAGAAAGACGTATCTTGTCGCAACGACAGGAGCAGACTGCTAATGGTCAAAGTGAGTTTTATCATAAAGATGATAATTCAGTCTCTCCATCACTGCTAATTTTAGGGTTAATTAAGATATGTTGGTACATTTACTGATGTGGGTTAAAGTGTGCTGTTATTCCCATTGTTATGCAGGGTTAAAAAAATCATTCGGCAACATTACTACTGGTAACTGCTTGTAAGATCTTTGTTCCCAGACCCTCCAGCCTGTCTTGAGAAATACTTACTGATATATAATATATCTCTTCCTTCTCCTTGGATGGTCCTACAGACCCTTGTATCCTGATGTTTCTCACTTCCAATAACACATGTCAGTAATTTTATTTCATGTGTTATAACAGTGTTGAAGCCCTATGTGAGCCAACGTTTGTTGCTAACTCACTCGAGAAATTTTTTTCTGTCTAATCCCTTGCAGGGGGGAGGGAGAGACCATTGGCCTCCCCTTTGGGTGTATACTTGAAGTGATGAACAGATAAATGGAAAACTGATTACTTTACAGCTCATGTCTTCAACAGAACTTTAAAATATGGATAATTATTGTATTTTTTTCCATGCTGTATTTTCATTACTTCCAACATCATCTTGAAATAATGTTAATTTTTGTATTATTCTTAGTGAGGCACATGTAGTGTACATGTTTCACATTACCTGGATATCAGTATGATAATTCAAGATGAGTTACTCAGTGTTGACATTGAAACATGAAAAGAAAATTCCTATTGTATATTTATGTTTCAATTTAAAGAAAAATAATTAATTGGGTTGAGTTAGATTTTTATTATTTTCTTAATGTTTGAATTACTGTTCTTGTATTAAATACTGAATTTAATTTTAGAACTTTGTTAAAATGCTTTGCTGGAAGGTCAAGCAAGTACAACAAAAATTTATGGCATCTTAGTTGCAGGAAATATTATCCCCAAGTCACCAAGTTGCAAACCCTCACCTAAAGTGAAGAAGATAATATATGATGCTTCTGAAAGTGAGGATTTTGATCGGGAAGAAGTGGCAACGTATGAAGAAGTGGCACGTCTCTATCCTCGACCTGGTCTTCCTCGACCTGTTGTTTTGATTGGTCCACCTGGTGTTGGGAGGAATGAATTGAAGCGAAGATTAATGACTCTTGACGTAGATAAATTCCGGACACCAATTCCCAGTAAGTCTTTTGTAGATATTTAGGGAATTGTTATTGAAAATGAATACCACAGCAGGACACATTTGGCACAGCAGTGAGAATAGGTGTTTCATAACAATTGAAGGGGGGATCTGTGTTTGCATGGCTTCAAATTTAATTTTAAAATTTAATAGTGACAGTCCTTTTATTATCATTGGTGATGAAAATCATTGAAAACATCTGGAAATAATAAAAACCAACAAAAGACTTATTAAAACCAATGAAAAAGGCATAGATTAACAAAACAACAATGGTTTATATGTTTGGTTTAAACTATTTGTTTAAAATGGACAACCTTGTTTATGACAGTCAGTAAGATAATGTTTCAGGAAGCACTTGTTAGCTTATGAGAAATTTGAGTGGAGCAGATGTCAGATGAATAAAATGCAGGTAATAGAAAAGCATAAATTAGATATTGTACATGTAATATATTTTATAAATATGAATTTTATTATTTTAAGCTTTAGTCAAATAGATTTTTCCTTTCTACTGTAGCAACATGTGTAAATACGTACACTGTTTCTAGAATTATTCATGTGAGACTTCTGGTTTGGCATCATCATATTACTTAGTCTAATGATTTTATCACCTTGTACAGTACAGTACTGTAGATGATTTTCTGAATTTGTTTTTTCCTGAAATACCAACTTTTTTATTTATATAGTGACTTCACGACCATCACGACATGGTGAGGTGAACAACCGGGACTATCAGTTTGTAACCCGAGAAGAACTAGAGGAGGAGGCTGCTTCGGGGACATTAGTTGAACATGGAGAGTTCAAGGGTCACTTGTATGGCACCTCGTCTGTCACTCTTAAGTCTATGATTAATGCTGGCTATGTAGTGCTGGTTACTCCACACTATCAGGTTGGTACCAATTACTATGTGTATTGTTTTGAACCTAAGTGTACAAAAAGATTTCTCAAGAAAAGACCTCAAAGATATTTAGAACCTTATTACAGCCTCAGAATAACTAATATATCACATGCATTTTTCTTTGGCCTAGGGTACCCTAACCTAAGGCAGCTGGGATCTAATCCAAAGATTAACTTAATTCGTTGTAGCATTCATCTCCTTCAAAAATGGGAGATAGAAGCTGTAGTTGCCATAGACATCTAGGATCCTAACAGGTTATGAGCCATGCTACTAATTGCATGTGCCAATCTTCAAGTGACTTGATTGTTCCCAAATGCAACCTTCATTGAGATAGTTTCTCAAATGAGAAAGTTCTGTAAATTTTGCAGTACATGTTTCATATTACTAGGATATCGGCGCACAGCACTTGATTGACTGTAGCGTGGCTACACTATCACACAGCTTAGAGGGAAGTATTAGTCCCACCCTCTTCATCTCCATGGGTTGTTTGGAAATTTGTTGATGTTCGTACTGTGAGCTTCCTTTATGACCCCATCAGTTGAGGATTGGCATGAACAATAATTGCATGGCGTGTGACCCATCAGGCTCCCGACTGTCAGTAACAGCCACTGCTTCTAATCTCCTTTTATTTAAATGGCACTTTGTACTTTACTCATCCCTCAGTTACTCAGTTTTAAAGATTAAACCCTAATTTCTCTTGAAAGAAGTAATCTTGAGTAAAACTTATAGTTACAATTTGCAGAGATTCATAAATAAAATTACTTTATTGTATGATTCCAAGAAGCTTACATCAATAATATATTTGTGTATTACTTTAGAACACAGCTCTTGACACACAACATACCACTCTCAAATTCTAGTACATGTACAGTAGTAATTATAAGTTGTTTTTTTCTACAGGCCCTTAAGTACCTGAGAACTGCAGAGTTCAAACCGTACGTGATATACATCAAGCCTCCAACACTGGCTGTGCTCAAAGAAACGAGACAAGCAGCTCATGCACGCTCAACCTTTGATGAAAATAATTCTAGAGGCTTTACAGTAAGTTCTTATTTTTGTATTTGGTTATGTCTTCAGTCTTCACAGTAATTTGTAAATATTTAGCTGGCATATTTTTTATTCCCTTTTCACTAAAGATTCTGCCATGATATATGAATGTTATATATATACAGTATAATTAGAGATATGGCTTGAAAGGTCACTGCATACATGCACTAGCCCTCTGGCCTATGCACAACACCATCCCACCTTCCCTTGTACCTGATGTATTGTAAAAGCCTCTGTTATGGACTTCTTGAAACTGAAGGCTGACTTATTATTTTTATACTTTTCTACTTATGAATAATTATAGCTTATTAAAATCTTCTCTGATCTTGGAGTGGTCAAGCCTTGCTTCTTCCATAAACTTAGTAGCTCTTCCTTCAAGTGTGGTTCAAGTTTTCATAGTAAACTATATCATGACCAAATCACTTCCAGAAAAGCAAAAACAAAATTATGAGGTATAAAAGACTTGTCAATAATGAGTCTAGTTATTGTCTTTAGTATTAACTGAGGCTCTTAAAGTGATTCAGGTTTCAGGGAAGGAGGGATGGTGCTGACACCTGCCTGAGAGCTAATTTCTATATTCATTATTTCCTTGGGATAACTAATTAGTTCATCCATCTGTTATTACCAGATCAATTGATTTCCAGTTGTCCACTACCTATCAGATACATATTATCAAGATGGCCTCAGTTGGATCTAAAAATCCAAATACAGTGATAGCCTCGTTAGCCGGAACAATTGGTGCAGATCACTTCCGGGAACAAGAGATTTCCGGGTAACGAGACGACTCTCTCAAAGACGGAAAAAATCCCTCATCCCGGAATTTTCCGGGTAACGGAAAAATTTTCTCGGAAGTTCCAGAAATTGCCCATTACATCATCTCTCAAACCCGGAAAAACTCCCCCATCCCCGGAATTTCCTGGGTATCGGGAAAATTTTCTCAGAATTTTCGGAAAATGTGCCCCTCGGAAAATCGTTTCCAAAGCCGGATTTTTCCAGAAAATTCCGGCTTTGGGAACGATTTTCCGAGAAAATTTCAATTCCGGCTATCGGAGAGTTTCGGGTTTGAGGGATTCTGGCTAACGGAGATATTACTGTACTTAAAAAAAACAACATAATTCATAACCCTCAAATTTGAGATCACTAATAATTCAAAATGTTTTGCTGTTACGAAATATATGTTACATAATTTGTAATATTTGGAAAAATGTCTAAATGTGAGTCATTTTGAAATATTGCAATATATGTACCCTGTATTACGGATATACAGTATATGACACACATGTCACCATGTGGCCATCAAATGCGATCGCCCACCTCAGAGTAAACGAGTACTATATACACATCAAGCGTATCAGTCACAGTCAGTTCACATTGGTCAGTTATCGAGTGCACATCTACGGTCTATCGCGCAAGCCTTTTCCACTTGTTTTTCTATCTTTGCCCAGTGTTTGAGCCATTATGTACTTAGAAATGTTTAAATTTTGATTGGCAGATAATGGAAAAGAACCATTGCCCCCCCCCCCATCACGGTGTCCCTCATATTTTGTAAAATCTAATATTTGTAAGGGCTTGAGCCACTTATTATTTTGAAGTATGGGGGTTTTACTGTAGTGCAGCCTACACTCATAACCTGCATTACAATATCATCAGCTTCATTTTGTCCAGATCATATTATCTCATTAAGTAGGTGGTGAAATTCACCTCCAACACAGTACAGTATAGTAATACCTCCCACCCTCATTCATTATACATATTCTGGCTACTTACGAATATCCATATACAGTGGTCCCTCGGTTAACGAGCACAATCCGTTCCAGCAGGTTGCTCGTTAACCGAAAAACTCGTTAACCGAAACCATTGTTTCAATGGGTTTTTGGGTAATTGGTTCCAGCTCACCGAAAATTGCCTAAATTCAACAAAAAAGGTAGAAAAGTACACTTACTTTGAGGTGTGTATGTAGAAGGCTCCTGGATGATGATGATGATGATGGGAATTAGAATGGGGTGGAGGAGAAGGGAGAAGAGAAGGCATTGGGGTGGAAGAGAAGTCACCCCATGGCACCATTTCACCCATAAAATTTTAGTTCTCTTGGTGTAATTCAAGATTATTTTCTTTAAATCAACACTGCACTGCATTATATATTGTCAATATGTAAAATAAATTTCAAAATGACCAATAATTTGCTTGGAAACACAGAAAAAAAGCGTTTAGTTGAAGAGAGTCTCAAGCAAGATGTTACCTCCGCTGAAAACAGAGAGAGACTAACGCCTGTCTGGTGTGTTAAAAGGCTGGATGGCACGCCAGAAACTAGTTTCTTTACCTTCAATTAGTTCAATAATTGTTAAAATGACTAAAAAAGTTAATATTAAACTTTTAAAATTATTGAATAGTATAAACTTCTTGATATTTACTAAAATAGTAAGGAATTTAAGCCCTAAAACCGATTACTGTATTGGTGGACTAATACTACAGCTAGTGGACCGCCAAATGCAAGCGAAAACATGTTGAAGTCGGCTCGTAAAAAACTCGTTAATCGAGGGATTGCTCGTTAACCGAATTTAAGAATCTTATGGAAGGTAAATCGTTAACCGAAATCTCGTTAACCGAGGCGCTCGTTAACCAAGGGATCACTGTAATCACATTCTAAATATATAGTCTTTGCTACTACAAAATTATTATAGATGTGGCTCATTAACGTTGACTAGATCTGAATTTACAGTAATCATTACTGCTGCAGGACTTCAGCTGATGGTTGCTATTACCCAATCACCATAATAGATGGATTTACAGTACTTCAGTGGTTCATTACATGCTAGACTAACAAAAAGTATTTCTTGAGGCTTTATTATTATTTATATTACTGTATTTTTGGTTATTCGTTGTATTACTTCACTGTTCTATCGATATTGTAAAGTGAGGGATACCGGGCACATAGTGGAGAATTAAAAGCCTAGCTACAGAATTATATTTTTGTCTGCTTGTAGATATATAGGCAGATGCAGAGTTCATATTTAGTTATTCTCTCCAGCATAGGTCTTGTGCTTCCTTGTGATAAATGTTAAGACTTATGCTCAAGTGATAGTGAAGGATGAAAATTAATAGTGATGAATGAATAGAGTACATGATAAGGGAGTTGAAGAGACTGTGAAACTCTAAAATAATAGGGATTAGAAAAAGACTGATTACAACTTGTAAAGAGAGATGTGAGACTGTGTGTTGATGGATGGAAGTTACATTAGAGAGATGTTAGACTGTGTGTTGGTGGACGGAAGTTACGGTTAGAGAGATGTTAGACTGTGTGTTGATGGATGGAAGTTACGGTTAGAGAGATGTTAGACTGTGTGTTGATGGATGGAAGTTACGGTTAGAGAGATGTTAGACTGTGTGTTGGTGGATGGAAGTTACGGTTAGAGAGATGTTAGACTGTGTGTTGGTGGATGGAAGTTACAGTTAGAGAGATGTTAGACTGTGTGTTGATGGATGGAAGTTACAGTTAGAGAGATGTTAGACTGTGTGTTGATGGATGGAAGTTACAGTTAGAGAGATGTTAGACTGTGTGTTGATGGATGGAAGTTAAGTGTGCTAGATGTACAAAGAGGATCTGCATATGGAGTGTTTGACCATCATTTGGTAGAGAAACATTAAGAGTATTTGGAAGGCTCAGGACAAAAGAGATTCCGTGGAGTGAGGAGGAGGAGGTATTAAGAGTCGACATGATGAGGAATGAAAATGTTGCTGCAGTATGTGAGGTAAATTGGATGCAAAGGTTAAGAAACAGAAATGAGAAGATGTGGAAGTGAAGAAAGTGTCAGAAACTGTACTGCCCTCAGTTAGCTAAGGTGCTGCAAAGATCTTGAGAGAATAGGAGTGAAAGATTGCCTTACATATACATATGCTGCTGCTATTGCTGTTGAGCATGCTACAGCAGCATACATAGCTGGCTATTGCTGGCTGCTGCTGCTGGCTATTACATATTGTTGCTGGAGCTGCCACATGAGCATACATACATATTACATACATATATATGAGAGCAGTTACTTGTCCCGTCACATCAGTAAGCATGACCATCCTCGACCATCTCACACTACAGGCCTGACAACATTCCCACCACCCCTCACGCTCGCGCCTCCTGTCCTCACCATCCATTTCACCCCTTATATATAGCAGTTACATACATATTATTGCTGTTGCTACATATATATATATATATATATATATATATATATATATATATATATATATATATATAAAATTTAGAAATGGATGGAGGTAGGGAGAGATAAGGACCAAAAAAGGAGACGGAAGAATGAAGTGAAAGAGGTATTGGAAGTAAGGAGAATGAACATCCAGGAAGCAGTACTGTAGTGTGCGAGAATGAGTGGGGAATAAGTACGTCATCGAGAGGCTTTTTAAGGATGGTCATGCTACTGATATGTAACAAGGATAAACCTTATAGATATCTTGGTATCTTGTTGTGGAAGGATAACATCATACTGTATCAGAACACATATACAGTGTACCATAATAAAAGTGAATGAATGACAACAATTGAAGGGAGAGTGTGTGTTTGCTCTTGATTCCAGCCATCCTTTAACAATGCAGGAAAAGTTTTCTGTAATGAAAAACTTTATAGTACTTAAAAAAAAATTAACAAATAGATCAAATAGTCATAAATTTTTTGAGTCTTCTCATGAAATTACTACTGTAAGTAAATTTCTTTCCACTGTGACAATGCTACTGAAAGCAATAATGATTATGCTCAGATCAATAATTTTATCTGCAATAAGGCCTCCACTGTACCAGCTTCACTTTAGGTCTTGTTATAGACTTCAGCAGCACCTGACTAAAATTATGTTTGTATGTATCCTGCGTGTCAGTGTCAGGGAGGGCATCAAGCCACAAAACTCCACTTCAACATGCCTGATGGCAGCTGGGTCACCAGAGCTGTACCCATCCCCAGGTTTTTGCTGCATTTTCTGAGCTGGCACCCTCAGTTTGCAGTACAGTATTGAGCAGTGGGGGGGGGGGGGATCTCATTCTGGTTTTACCCAACAGCTGCTATCAGGTTATTGCAGCTAAATCCATGAAAGTGTGGAAAGTGGCTGTAAAATATTGTTGATATGAAGATGATACCAGGTTACAGTTAAGTGAAGTTGGGTGGAATATTCCGCTTGACTTCATCTATCATATAGTACAAATATAAATTTTTTGTTAGTGTGTAATGTGATCTGTGTACTGTATCCCAATTAATATCTTCTTCATATTAACATCCAGTAGGCTGTGTACAACTGAAAATTTTCAATTCGTGTAGGGAAGAAAAGTCTTTTGTACCTCCCAGTTAGGACAAATACTTGTGAAGAAAATTTATTAGTAATATTGTTCAGTAGTGTATTGATATATCACTATAGTATCAAGACTTATATTGTTTTTTGTTTTTTCTTTTAACAAAATACTATTGTGAGATAATTTTTTCAGGAAGATGAATTTAGGGACATGCTGAAGGCAGCTGCAAGAATTGAATTTCACTACTCTCACTGGTTTGATGAAGTTATTGTTAATGATGAGCTATCTTCAGCCTTTGAGCTCTTGGTTGCAGCTGTAAATAAGGTGGAAACGGAACCACTGTGGGTGCCTGCATCATGGGTGCAATAATCATGATCTGATCACAAGAAACAATTGTTTTCTGAGTAGTGCAGCAATAAGACTTGTTCTTCATGCATTACAAATCTAAGAAGTAGGTCAGTAAAAGCAACTTCTTTTGAAACTTATCACACCATGATGCAATCTTGCCAACACACCTGTCTTTACTTTTGGTTTGTGCCTTTCTTTTCCTGAAAGAGTTAAGAAGATTGAAGATGCCTGTATTCAATGTTGCTCCCTAATAGATAGATGAAATTAAAGTAGGTGTTGGCATTTATGAAGGCAGCTGTCCATTTAAGTTACATTGTTTCCAAAGCAGATGTATTTTCCTGTAAAATTAGATTGTGTCAAGAACAGATGTATCTAACAGTCATTGTCATACTAACATACTAAAGTTTATACACAAATGGTCCACATTTTTGCAAAATAATGTATGAAGTTACAGCTCAACATGAGAAAAGTTTCACAGTGTGCAGCAAAAACATATTTATTGCACCAGTGACTCAAGAAATTATCAGCAAGTCCTAAGAAACTAAAAACATTACTGGCTGGATCATCTGATACAAAGCTTTGCATTATGGCTGCAATAAGTGTCATTTAAACAACACCATATGGATTCACTTCAGTTCTCATTTGTCTTGCCATTATGTGGAAATAAAGTGTAAGTATACTTAATGCATGCTGCCAGGTTATCTTGAACTTGTAAACTTCAATAACAATAACAAAAAAGTTATCTTGACTTCATAAACTTAAATAAAAGTAACAGACAAGAGAAGTGATAAAGGTCAACTTTGCTAACTCTTTACTCTCCCTCTCTCTGCCGTTATATCAGTTCCCAAGATCTGTTTCAGTGGACTCCCCCAATATCTCTTGTGCCTCGTACCTACTTAATAATACTGACTTGTCATAGAGGTGTGCATGTAATCCTGTAAGTGATAGAGTTGTTTAGTTCAAAGCATGTTGAACTTTATCTTCTACTGCTGCAGTTAATATTATTTATTTATTATTGTAATTATTATCATCATCATTATTATATTAATAGATATTTATTGAATATTGTCACTAGATACCTCATCCCATTAAAGCATTTTTTCATCCCACCATGCAGATTACTTGTTATAGAATCTTTTGTACAAGTGAGAAGTTTGTATCAGTGAATGAAGGTGTAGTGAGAAGGTTGGTGTCGTTCATCTTGAAGTGTACAAAACTCATGTTGTACATTGTTACTCTGTGGTGTGAAAGAAATGATCTGGCCTTAGGTAAGACTATGCCAAAATACTTTAACATTTGGAGATTAGTCACTGGGTTTAATTAATCTTATTCAATTTTATATTGGTCCTAAGCCAGATCATAGTGTGATTGTTGTTTTCTCTGAAATCCACGTGAATGACGAGGTTGGTTAAAAAAATAACAAATACAAACAAGCTGGCAATACTCATCGTTAAGTGCATCCATCTAGTCGTGTGTGGAGGGTCCTCAGCCCTTGGTACAGGACTATTGAGTGTCCTCCAGACCCTTCAGAGGCAATATTGGTGTTGTGCTCGCTGATCAACAATAGCATTTGTTTGGGACTTAATATTACCGTAGATAGTTATTTGTATGCTTACCTGTTGGTTGAAAGGTGAATGTAGTACAGTATAAAAATGTGCTAGTACAGTAATGAGTTGTTTTTGCAAACATTCCTTAATGATAAGTATATGTAGACCTATATTTTTTAGTACATCCATTTTTTTTTTTAACAATACATTCTGATTTTTAGTACAGTACTGTACTGTCAAAAATAATTATTGTGCTGTACATGGCAGCAATTTAAAGGACTAGATTGATTGTTAATACTATATGAATGTTTTGCTGTGAAGTCACAGCATATTCTGGCCAGCTTAAGTAGGAAAAGAAGCGTAAAAGAGGGATATAGTGTATTTTTAGACAACTGTGGCCCGGAAGACCACAAAAATCACAGGAAAATACATACGAGTTACTCATGGCACTGTTAAAATGTTATTCCTATTGTCAGGTGGCTGCTAAATATTAGCACAAAATGAGAAAACTAGAAGTACTTTGTACTGAGCTGATCATGCTGACGACATATTATGACCAGCAATATGTGTGTGTGTGTGTGTGACTGCTTCGGTGTATGGTGTCTGATGACCTCCAGAATCCTAACTTCATAAATCTAGGAAACACATGAGTCTTGATCACCAAGAAAATAATGCATGTGATGAGTGAAATTAAAGGAGTAAATGTATTTGATTAGGTCTATATTTAGTGGAGGCATGCATGATACTTACTTATGACAACAACAAATGTAGGTGAAACATGATCACTATGGAAATCTGAGACATGTCCCGCTGTTAACAATAGGAATTAGATATGTAAACAGGGTAATCACAGTGACTGTTTTATTGCTATGTTAGGGCTCGGGAATTTTGCCAAATAATTTGTCTAAACCAGTTCTTCCACCTTCATGTAGACTAACATGTTTTTACTATTTTCCCCTGTATTTACAACGACAAGTAGTTTCTCCATGAAGTTAGTTGATAGGTAACCTAATATAATTTGTCCTTTTATGTAATGTATAGTGATTTTGCAGACGTTTAAAATTCCATTTTTGAGGTACTAATGTACTTAATGTATGATCATTCCAAAACTGAAATTCTATATTGTTTACTGTTTTATATATTTTTCAGACTGCAAAAAGTGTTCTCAGTTTAGTAGCTCGAAATTTTGTATATCTTATCATTAAAAATAGCTGGAAGGTTTATCATCACTAGTCAGTGAAGACAGTATCAGGCATTTAGTCCTTTGCGGTTTACAGAACTTTTGTACACTGTTAAGTTTGATGGGTATTACTTTCAGTAACATACTATTTATTTTTTTACATTATTAATTTAAAAGGAAATGTTATCCTCTAACACCACATGTATTTTCCAAAGCACAAACTCAATACTTTGACCTTACTGAATTCTAATAGTATACCTTTGATAGGAATTGCTACATATTTTTTAACTGTGTCTAGCCCAGATGATATACCTATAGCTAGTTCAGAGGCAAAAGTCAACACAGTGGAGAAATTGGTTACAGTTTAAGGAAAGACATGTACAGTACCTAATAAGAGGCAAGGCTGTGCAACAATATGAGCTAATGAAATTTTAAGTACAGTATGTACCGGGTACTGTATCTCAATTAATTGTGTTATATTATTTTTATTTTGCAAGTAGGAAAGGCTGGCTATGGCATACACTGAAGGCTCAAGGGTAATAGTACAAGTTCATGAGCTTATTGCACTACCTGTGTGAAAGCTGAATAGCATTGAGTACCGGTAGTTTTCAGAATTTCTAGTATCACTTTTGGTTTCTGACTGTCAGATGTTCAGAGGTAAAGTACCATATAACATAAGTATTTCAACAATCTTATTTTAGATATAGGAAACAGGTTGATTGATGTAGAATTTGGTAAAGGTGAGCAATAGAGCATGAGAAGCCTGTAGAAGTATTGACTGAAATATTTCAACCATCTCATGACTAATACCCTGTAGAAGTATATTACCTAACAATGTATTGATAGGAAATAGGATTAATTTTTTGTCCCTTGATGTCAAAAGTTATTTTTTAATCTTGTTGCAATGTGAATACCAGTATTAACTGTATTTTGCATAGTCTTGGTGTTTCTTTTTTATATTTAACTCCATTTTTTAAACAGCCTAAATTTTACTTTTTTTCTGTTTACAGTATTTGTTAATGTTGAATTTTTGTCATGAATGCCATACCCCATGTGTCAATATTTAAGGACTGTACATTTTACTTCACAGTGGCTACTATGAATAGTTCAAAGGAAATTATTTGTAGATTATAAAAATACAGTGATTGTAGTTTCAAAGCAAGATATTGTAAGAGGTTGTTGGAACAGATAATTGTATGCACTGCCATTAACGACCCTTAAACCATTTCCTCCCCAGACGAGTTGTGAGAGTTGTGCTTGGGGTGCGACAGTGCTATAAGGGTCAGTTTACTTCTAGTTACCACTATTGGTGAGAAACATTAAATTACTGTTATGTACCAAACAATTGTAGAATGTAATATAACTAGTCAATGTTTTCTTTGAATTTATGCATCCAAAGAATTGCCTCGTTAGCACTAGTGAGATGTTTGTCATAAGTTTTCTTTTGGGCATACATGCTAACGTTTGGGCATACTTTAACAGAAATCAAATTTTATATGGGTGTGTCAGTTGTTTCACTAATGAATGCATCCATTCTTTCCATATGAATCTCCTCAAGTAGAATTCTGCTGTGAAAAACAAATATTTCTGATTCTGATGTTATCCACTGAATCAGATCTGACAAAAATGGGAGTGTGTATATGAAGCAGACATCTTCTTTGTTGCATTGAGTGATTTATCAAACCTTAAAAATAGGTGGTATAAATTCTTAAGTGTGATACATCTCATGATTGATGTAAGAAACTTAAAAAAGACAGTCAGGGAGCTAATTGCTAAATTGAACAAATGGTAGATGTCAAATTAAATTCAAAGTTATATTCCACGTCAAAAGCAAATTAAATAATTGTATTGATTCAGGAGGTTGAAGTCTGTGCCTGCATTACTTAGGGCTCAAGAGTGCAAGATGAGGCTAGGTCAGGTAAGGTCAGAGCAAGAGCCTTTTTAAGTCTGTTAGTAGGAACAAGAACATACACTATATTGTTATCTTTATTGTGATACTAATTAACCGTATTCATAGTTAGCTCATTAGAATGTGGATCATTTTAATTGTTTTATTCGTTTCTAATGATATAGAATGGAATCAGTGATAGGTATGACAAGTATTCCAAGTTAATTTCACTTATGAGCTCAAAATAAGCTGACCTGGCCACTGATGTTCTCACCAGTGTTATGTGACTTGTGTTCATTGGGTTTGTTGAAAGCATAAACATGATCTCAACACAAATCTAGTGAATCGTGTAGCTCAACAGTGAGCGAATATTGTTGATAGTGTTAATGTGTAGCAATTGCTAGTTTATTCTACGTACAGCCCTTCATTCCTCAGTAGTTTTATGCAAGCGAGTCAAATAAGGGAAATTCCAATAGTACAGTATTATGAAACTGCACATTTGAGACAGTAAATAAATAATAATTCTTGAATTAATGGTGAAGGGATCAGAATGTAAATTAAATGCATTACAGTATTTTGTAAAATCTGTTTAGGTTTAATTATTTTTATATCATTATTAATATAAAGTTTCTGAAAAGTCATTAGTATAATAGATGTGAATTCTCAAGAAGTCTAGTTCAGGATAGTTTGAGAATACTCTGTGATTTTCATATTTTCTTCCTTGTGATGATTTTACAGTTCTGGTGGACAGACAAGACATTGACTTGATCTTTATTGTTTATCTTGCAAATATAGAAGCTTTGAATACAGCCCAAGAGGCAGTGGGGTAAAAAGTTGTGGCTTATATCAGTAGAAGCTGATATTACCAAATAAACAAAGTTGACATTTGTGTCTTCGCAACTCGGATAGGATGAATCTTCAATTATGTCTTTAAGATAGCAAACTGAATTTTTTTAATAATCTTTACAGAAAGGTGATGTAAAATATATAAAAATATACTAATAATGATAATAATAATAACAACAGTAATACTACTATAGGGGGTACTACTAATATTAATAACAACAAAAATGAACAAAGTTTTTTTTAGAATATTGTCTATATATTTCAATATTAAGGGAATATATTCTGATCTATTTCTTAATTGTAGACTGTAATCGTTTGAATTAGCATGTAAAGTTAAGTAAACAAGCTATGTAAGGTCCACAGATACTTCTGTTTCATAAGTTAAAACAAAATTATGGCTAATCTTAGTTTTTATCTTGACTGACTTATAATAATGAAATTTATGAAATACAGTACAGTATGTATAAATGCTTCAGTCTCTGCACACCATATGTAAGTGGCACAATATTGTTAAATGCTAGATGGTGTTCTATATTTAGTGCCAACAGTTGTTAGTGAAATTGTAAATACATTTCATTTGTGGTGAAGTTTTGATGGTGTTGGCAAAGTTCATCCAATTGTTTTCTCTCTGAAATTGCCACAGAGAGAATAGGCTTATTAGACCTCTGCCTGCTGACATGTAATGACTAAGATAAACCTATAGAATAATGAAACAAAAACAAATACGTATTTTCAGCTAAAATAATCTAAAGAACATTTCAGGCTAATAGTATGTGTCAATCATTGTCCAGTTTGCAGTTGTCTGGTTACCGTTGATCATATACCTGGTGTGAAAGACCAGAAGGGTTGTGTTTATTTATGTTTCAGTATATGATGGCTAGTGAAATTTTCAATTTCTTGGTGAGATAAAGTAGTGAATAATTAAGATGTAGTTAATTAATAAATTATTATTTCAAACTGGAGCCTACAAATAAGTTTAATGGATACACAATATCCATGAATCGAATTTGCATACTTTGTCATGAACCAAAATACTGTACATCATTACATATGTAATGGAGAATTTCATTAGCAGATAAAATTGTGTTGAACAATCAAAGTTATAGACATTCAAACTGTAAATAGTTGAGCCCAAGAAGAAATAGACTATACCATTTTGGGCCTTCCCATGCCTTCTTACAGAACTGTATGTCACAGTGAAGATGTATTTTGTGATTTTACAGTCAACACTAGAGAATCATATTACATCACTAGGCTGAGTAAACCTAAAATCAGCTTTGAAAAACATCAAACGTTTTATTTCAAGTGAAGAAAAAATTAAGCTTTCAACAGTTTACTTGTATTTTTTAAGTGTTTGCACTTTGATCATTCACTGTAACTTAGATGAAGTGCAGCTCTTCATATTATAATTTTTAGGTATCAGCAGACTGAACTCTTGGCTTTTACCAGAAAAGATGAAAAGAACAAATCAAGTCTTGTGTAAAGTGGCCTACTAGTCATTGTAGAAGTAAACACATGTACCCATTAGTTGATAGTATTTTCCAAGTTATTGAAAAAAAATGTGTCAATAGAAACTTATAAATTATAACCTAATATACAAGACAGGAGTTAATATCAAAGATAAGTATGTTAGCAAGCTCTATACTTTACTTTAAATAGCACTGACCAAGTTGTCTAATAGTGATCTCACAAAATTTTTACCTAAAGTACTGCCTTTGTAGTATTACAAGGGGTCCCCGGGTTACGAACAAGTTTCGTTCCTGAGGACGTTCTTAAGTCAGAACACATACCCTATGTGCACTTTATCATAGCCTAATTCATTTTATACATCTAGAATCACTTAATTTAAAATAAAGGAAGAAATTGAATGACAAAATACAGTAAACTAAAAATTAAAGTTTAACACTTACATTGAAACCTGGGGCTGGTTTGCATGTAGAGATGGGCATTTGTAGAAGTGATTTAGATCTTCCACCCATATCACTAACAATCTTTCTATTTCAATTATCAATCCAATTCTTTGTTTTGTTATCAGTTGAGTGCATTGGTGTAGATCCTTTTACATGTTCAAGAATTTTGTGCTTGTCTTTCAAAATTGTTTCGATCATTGACCGACTTAAGCCCAACACTTCACCAGTGACTGAGGGTGTTTTGCCTTTTTCAAAACATTTAATTTCATCAACTTTCACTTCCATTGTAATTGTTTTCCTT